CCCGCTGTTGGTAACGACCGAACTCCCAAGGTGTTGTCGGAAGTAGGACTAGAAAACTCCCCTTTAACCTTCCAGGAGTCACCAGGGGCCTCAACCTTCACACCTTCTGGTGCCACCGCGGGACGGGCTGGTTGTTTCCGATGTGTGGCCAGACTTGCCGGGACTGATGCGGGGTCCAGGTTTGGCCGACGGGCAGGGACGGGGCCCGGTGCGGGCCGTTTGGGGGCTGGCATGTCGTCGGGGGCTGCGGCAGGTGGGCCGCGCGGCTGACCTAAAAGGCGCTGCCTTTTGAATTGGCTGGCGTTGCGACTGACGGACAGCTGGGCGTCTTCTGCAAGGCCCGGACACGAGAGGGCCTCTACCCCTAGCTCTGACAGGAAGGCGATAGCATCGTCATGAGAGAACGAATCCATGGTTCTTTAGACGGAATTCACTGGCGGTGATGAGGGCCTGCGAGCGTGCACCGGACGGACTGATGGAGGCACGGGCGAGGCGAGGAAGTAGAACAACGCTTAAAGAAGTATGACAGGCAAAAAACGGGTCCCCCAGCCGGCCGGCTGCCAAGGCGACTTAATAGACCGCTTGACGCGAATTGTCCTAAGAAGTACGGCAAACGCTGCCACAGAGTGAACCCGTACGACGGTCTGTTCACAAACTCAAGACAAGAAAAGGCGATCGATGATGCTCACGTCTGCGCGCGCGGGCGCCCAACTCGATGCTCGCTGGCAACTTCATCGCGACCAGAAAAGGTTACTCCTGTGCGCGCTGCGCAGACCGGCGTTGGTCCTTAAAGAATTGAAGCGGCACGCGGGCCTGGAAGAAAGAACACGGCACACGGGCCCGCTTTACGGCGCTAAGGCCTGAAAATCACTACTTGCCGCTGCGGCGGCCATTGCCGTTGCGATCACTGCAATCATAGTCATGATTTCCACGCTGGCCGCCACCCCTGTGGCTGCTGCCGCGCAATCCGCCACCGTTGCCACCGCCGCCGGAGCCTCCAGCGCCGCGAGAATTGCCGCCGCCATGACTACCAGGCGTGGAGGCACTCGCCGTTCGCAAGGCCCAGTCTTTCTGCTTCCGCACGAGGGCTTCCGCTTTCTCACCTTTGGGGATCCTTGTACCAATGATATTGTTGAAGCAGTGGTCTGCGGCTGTCAGACCTATACGGGGCTCCAAAGCGAGCTGGTGTGTGGCCTCGATGCCGATCTCGGCACGAAGCTGAAGCCGGTCGGTCCACTCGGCGGCCTTCTCGTAGCAGCCAGCATCGAGGTAGCTGCGGATGAGTTGTAGGCCAAGGTGGAAGCCTGTGAAGGCTTGCAGACGATGGCCAATCACGTCCCTTGGCGCCTTTTGCTCATTAGCCATGAAGTCCGCGCGGATGTCATCGGCCTGCTCTAGAGCAGCCCGATCGTCCCGGCGGCGCTTCTCTGAGACGTTTTCTAGGGCATTCATCACCATGTCATCGGTTTTAGAAACGACCGTTTCTAAAACCGCGGCGCCCGTTTTGGCAGTGCCGGCCGGCGGGGAGGGCCCAATGGCGCCTAAACCCCCACCAGCCCCACCTGGAACAGTGGCGACGCTCTCGGTCGGCGGCGCATTATCATTAATAGTTGACATTGGAAAAAATTGAAATCAGAAAACGTAGAAAACTTGAACAAATGTAGGTCGGAACTTGAAATGGTAAGGCTTCAAGTACAGCCTGTCACGCTGACTAGTTGGACAAGGCTGTATGCTCTTCTGTGTGAAGGCAGAATGACTTCACCAGGAGAGCAGCAAGGTTTAAGTCGCCACAGCGACCCAGTTGTACGACAGTACCACAGAACCAGCCTTAGAGGCTCCGGTCGCTTCGCTCCGTCGCATCTAAGCCAACAAACGGGGGCAAGGGGGGGAGGGATTAGGGTTTTTCCTTCACTCGCCTGTGGTTCGCCTTACATCCAAAAAGCACTTTGGACGCCTTCCGGCAGCTCAGCCTTCCTGATTTCCTTGCAGCATGTGATTTCCCCCTCCCCCTTTTTTTATCCCCTTCCCCCCCTTTCCTTCCTTCCCCCTCCAGGCGACTGGTTCAACCGTATCGACTGGACCGCCTCCTCCCACAACTTCGGTGTGGGTCTCCCCGTGGCCACCAAGAACGGCGGCGCCTGGGGCTACATGCGAGCGCTCCTGGGGCAGGCGGACAGGATAAGGCCCTCGCGACAGCAAATGATCTCCACCACCAAGATATTTCAGGTACATATATGCATACATACATATATACATACATATATACATACTCTCATACATATATACATGCTTATATACATACTTTTATACGTATATACATCCTTTATGCATACTAATACTTGTATACATGCCTACGTTCCTATGTGCATACGTGTCCATCCTGCTGTACGGCAGGCTCTGCTCCGAGTGCGCTACTCGTCACCGCTGTTCAGGCTGGCGGCCACTGCTGATGTCGTACGGCAGGTGGCGTTCTACAACACCGGTCCGGATCAGGTGTGCGTGCACGTATGTACGTCCATACATATGTATGTGTGTATATGCATGTATATATGTGTGTAAGGGATTAGAGAGGATTTGGCTCTGGTGGGAAGGGAGAGAGAGGAGGGCTCGAGGAGTTCCCGGGGGTTTTCAGTTGGCGGCTCTCTGATCCTGATCAGGCAACCCGGAGTACCCCTCGTTTCACCGCAGGTTCACCAACGACCCCAACCACCTGCGCCCACCACCGGGGGACCAGAAATACCCCCTAAATAGAGGATAAATATGGATGGACAGACAGATAGATGGATAGATATCCCTATCTAAATATCAGACCTAGCTAACCCGCCAGCCAATCCCACAGCATCACCTCCGCATGTTTATATACATTTTAGCGGATCTAAAGATCGCGGCTCCCAACCGCTACTAACCGCTACTAACCGCAACTGCTCCCGTTTTCCCTCGCACCCAGAAACCCGGACTCATTGTCATGGAGCTGGTCAGTGCGCCGTACAGTGACGGTGACGCGTTTCAAGGTGTGTACGATCCCATGTACGAGCGCCTGGTAGCGGTCTTCAACTGTGCGCCGTACACCAATGATGTGCCGTACCCGCCCGGTGTGGCGCCGGGCGGCAGCCTGCAGGTACGGCCTTAGTAACTGATGTAGTACTGTACGGAGGGGGGTTTGATCACAGTCACAAGAGGAACCCTCTTGCCGTTACTGTAGCCACTTGGTGTGGCAGTTGGTAGTTGGTAATTGGCAGTTGGTAGTAAATAGCGGTTGGTCGGTGTCCCTGCTGATCACAGCCCAATTCAGAAGACAAAGCGAGCGCTAACGGACACACGGAAATGCACTTGGGAAAAGAAAAATGGATTGCTTATTGGGCCAGGGGTTCAGGGGGTCAGGTGGCGAGGCACCTTGGGTGGCTTTGGTCTCGTAGACGACTGTTGGTGATACAGTTGTTCAGTTGTCAGTTGTCAGTTGATCGCTTCACATCCACGTCGCTCGCTCTGCCGGGTTCCCTCCACCCTTAAGATTAATGTACGACACCTAAAACCCTGTTCTCCCCTCCCTGCCTTCACAACCCCGCTGCTGCGTGATCTTCGTACTGCGGTTTACGTTATCGTACGACTGTACGGCTGCTGCTGTGCAACGACGGCGGAAAACAAAACTCAACTTAACCACGCGGCGGCGGCGGCGGCATCGGCGGCGGCGGCGGTACAGTTGCATCCCGACCTGGCGGGTGTTGGCGACCCCCGGCTCTCCGCCGCTACTGCCGACGACGTCCACCGCAAGCTGCACGTGCCCCCACGCACCACCGCCGTATTCGTACAGCAGCGGAAGAGCCCCTAGCGGATATCGTCCGGCAATAGCAGAGCGTATGCGTGCGGTAGCGTAACGGAGCATGTGATAAGGCGGGGCTGTATATATCTGGTCATGAGTCGTTGCTACTGCTATAATATGCTGAGATGTATGTCTGTCGCGCACGGGCGGGGCGGCCCCAAACGGCACAACTAAGAGGACACGCTGCTGTGTTCCGATTACTGAGATGCAGCGCTGTATGTATATCGTAGCATGTGCCGTGTGGCGTGTGGCGATGTTCATGACCTTAGCACAGCATGCAGGGTGCCGTACGAATGCACGAGCACAAGCAAGGGCACGAAAAAAAATTCGTTTGCGAAGAAGACGCATTCGGTCATTCGTTTTCTCAACAGCACTATGGAGATACATACATTCTTGTGTCTGCAGTTTATCTTGTGTCTTGTGTCTGCAGTTTATCTTAGTCCTGTGCTGCTGCTGTGTTTGACATTTTCTTATTGCTTATCGCTTTACACTCACGACTGTGAAGGTGAGGGCAGCCCCGACGCTGGGGATGCCAATCCACGCATGCATTCGTCTCTATAACCTTGATTGTTTTTGTTTCCGTATCAGCGTGAAAGCGAAGAACTTACGGACATTGTCGCTTTGAACCTCTTGTTGCTTTGCATGCACGCCATAATATCAGCACTCGACACCTTGGCAGCATCCGGCAGCATTTCGTAGCGGGGGTTGGTGTTCTCCACCGCCGCACAAATGTGTGTGTGTGTGTTGTGCGTATGTCTGTACACTCGGCCCACTCGCGTCCCGCGCAGAGCTTTGGATGTCGTTGCAATAAGTGTGTGCATGTGTGTATGTCTGTATGTGTACGTATGTGTATGTGTATGTGTGTGCGTGTGCGCGAAGGAGCACACGTCACAGTGCCCACCAAACCCAAAAAGGGGGAAGAGGTTCACTTCAGTGTGTCCTCCGTTTGCATCTCCCCGCGCCCCCGATCGCATCTGCGGCCTTTTGTGCTCTGTCCTGTTGTTCTCAGTTCACGATGTCGTTACGGCTCTTGGCCGCTGCTCTCCATTTGGCGCCCCGCTAATTAGTGTGTGTGGATGTTCATGACACGGAGTGCGCGACTCTTAATTTGTGTTTGAATGTTGTAATCCGGCAGCAGTTAGTTCCTGTACTGTCTGGCCACGACTGTGCGCCCCCTTACTGCCTTCCGTACTTTGGGTACCGGACGCATTTTCGCTGAGAGTTCTATACTGTAACGATATTTCTATCCGTCCAGGTTCAGTCTTTTGGCCGCACTATACGGACATGCGGCGAGGGGTTCCTGGCAGCCGGGACGCCGGTGTTACCAAATTGTGTGTCCTCGAGAAGTCGGTCGGAAGGTTGGTTCCGGAGCTCTGAAGGCATGTGGATGTTGTTGTTGTTGCTGTTACAGAGTGGGAGGCTTCTGGGCCACATTGTCACTCAACGATTAATCGCCATACAGCACACCATCCACCATTACCACACTGTACTACGCCATACGAACTGCAAGTCCAGGGCGGTTGGGGATGTGTGAACCCCACGCGGCCGCTCCCGTCTACAGTTCGGTTCACTTGCCTTTCTTCTCAACTACGCACGGGGACCGTCCTCTGCCTCTGCTGGATGGCTCATGTGTTGGAACCATACGTCCGCTGCTGCCACGCTCCAAGTGGACGCTGCAACTTGCCTGTACAACAGGAGGCCTATAAACACTGTTTTAGACTTTCAGGTCAGATATTAAAATGGACAAAACAGTATTGTTTATGTAAGTATAATTACACGCAGCTAGTTGGGGCTACCTTCACATCCTCCTATCAAAATCCCTACAGGATCACACCTATTACACCTACCGTAGCGGAACTAAAGATTTTACAAAATAAATAATTATTTGCATGCGGTAAAATATTTTGGCAAAATTCAGAGTCTTACCGTAAAATCTTTAGTTCCCGGGAGGGAATTCGGAGCGATGCGGTAAAATATATATGGCCCTTCGCGCACAGCAAGCTTTTGGCACTAGATCTTATTCTATTTTACACATAATATTGTAACATAATAATGTATTAACCTATTTCTGGCAGCAGCATGGGCAAGCGCAAGCTCAGCAAACACCGCTTCATTGACAAGCTGCCGGCCATACCGGCGGCTTTTGCCAGCGAAGTGCAGTTCTCAGCACCTAAGGCAATTACGAACTACTTCAGCAAGCTGCCAGAGGGAACCCCGCTCCCCGCGCCTGCACCCCCTCCGGCGCCGATCCCGATCGCGCCAAAGCGCGGGCCCGGCCGTCCGCGCAAGCCAAGGGTGATCTGCATCGACGACAGCCCTTGCGGTGGCTGTTATAGCTAAGGGCTTATTTTGTTGGGGAGTAGGGAGTAGGCATTTGAGAGATGACATATCTAAGTTCTTACAAGCTGGTTGGTGTCGCCGGGCGTGAAGTGGCTGTATTTAGATGGTTACGATGGCCCTTTCTTGGAGCGTCGTGAAATGCTCTCGCGTCCTTCATCAATCATAAGAATTCTGCGGCTGGTACAGAATGGTGGATGTTTGGAGGCCTTGTCACGGTGGCTTGGCTTTCAGATGGGGGTTTACAATTTGGAGTTTCTTAATTTGAGACGTGTTGTGATGATTCTCATTTCCCCTCATGCGTGAGAGGGAGGCGGGCAGTGGTGTTGCATGGTGGGGTAGCTTTGCGGGCCGGTAAAATCCCAGGAAATCATCCACAGTACCGTAAAATCTTGGCAAAATCCACCAGCATGCGGTAAAATACTTCGTTCCGTAAAATATATTAAAATCCATAATTTTGCGGTAAAATCTTTATTTTGTAAAATCTTTAGTTCCGCTACGGTATACACGGTGTATAGGTTCCTATGAAGTCGTGACCACCAACACCAATCGGTTCGTCGTAACCGTAGTGTCACGAGCGCGTACCAGCCACCCCAACCCAGGCACGTACGTAGCCAGGGTGGGAAACGCGCTGCAGGTTGCACAATACTTTTCTTGCGCCATACTATGTCCTTTACCTAACTTCTAGCTCTTACTAAGCTCTTGCGCGACTGGCGCGTATCGGCTCGTTACACCGTCTCTGGGTAACGCAACCGATGTGTATCACACACACACACACACACACACACACACACACACACACACACAACGCGTCGCTCGCAGAAGCACCGGCAGGGGTGCACCAATGCGTGTGGGACGTGGTCAGCCTCGCGGCGCTGTCCGCCAGGGAACGTGCACGCGTGTGCAGCGTCCGATTCGTGCCTCCTGTGCATGTTAGCATGTATGGCAAAAACAGGCAGCATCGCCCCCCCCAGCATATATGCACGTGCACGCAAACCCTGCTAGCCAAAACGCTCGATATGCACGCAATAGCAGCGTGGGCCCAAGTTGTTGTGCATTTTCCTGCCCCCTAGCTGCCTCCCCGGCAGGCAGACCATGGTGGTTATTATTAGGCCATGAAGCCAACAAACCAATAGCATGTGGACCACTTCGTCAGTCACAAGAAACCAAATACACGAAACCACGCACCGCCCTAGCTACCTAGTTGTTATTCTTGTTGTTGGAGTTGTCGTTATTACTGCTCACCAAAACTTACCTCTATCGCAAGGGCCACACAGAAGCGCGCCTAAAGCCTCACTGCTACACTGTCATTGCGAAGTAGATAGCTCCCGCCGTGCGTAGGAGTGTTCAGATAATCGGTGGGGCCGTGGGACGGCACATCAAGTCTTTCTGTGGAGGTGCACGCGCCCCTGCCAGATCATGAACCTCTAACCTAAAACACCCAAGAACGTCTTTTAGCGCAATGCATCAAGACGCCCGTCACGCGAGCCATGCACTCCCTTAATCACAGGGGCCACCACCATCTTCCCGACCAGGCCACCCAACCCCAACCCCACACCAGCCATGCCATCTCAGCATGGCCCTGCCTCCTCACCATTTAAACCCACGTCGCCAAGAACCTCTTCCTCCTCATTATCACCACATTAATAATTAGTCCCCATCCCCACCATCATTATCATTATCCTCCTCCTCGTCGTTATCATCATCATCTTGATTACCGTCGCCGCACGTACTCCAGCAGCCGCCGTTGGCCCCGCACAAGTGGTGCCAGACCCTCCTTCAAGCTGGTGAACCAGTGGCTCCAGTCCCAAGCCCCGGGCCGCCCTTCCTCCGGACCCCGAACCCGGATAAGAAGAAACTCCGCACAGCACAACTTGCCCTCGTGATCGCCGTTCGGGTTGTCCTCCCGAGACACAATCGCATAGCCCAACCGCGCCAGATGCAAAAACATGAGGCTAAGCTCACCACCGTAAACCCGCTGCCGCTTGGACGCTGCCGCCAAAACGGCGTCGCGTGAAGCGCGTGAAGCGCGCATCGTCGCGCGCTTGCCGTACAGCCACCAGGCCAGAGCACTGTACCGTGGCCGCGGTGGGGGCGGTGGCGGCGGCACCGTCAGCGTGAACTTCTCGACCCAGTTGTGAATTTCGATGGCGAGGAAAGCGGGCAATCCCGGCGTGTCTGGGCCCCATTCAGAAATCAGCTGCCACTCAAAGCCCTCAACGTCGATTTTGAGGATGAACACCTCGGGCGCCGATTCGCGTCGGCGTGAGCGGCCGCTGCTCCCGCCGCCAGCCCAGAGCCCGCCGCGCTGCAGCAGCCGCCTCCGCCACCACCGGCCGCCTACCAAGCCCTTACCACGAGCCAGCGCAACCTCGTCGTCAACATCCTCGCCGGCTTCTGTTACACCGGTCATGTGCAGTGCCGCCTCCGCCTCCGTCGCGATGTCCGAACCGAGGTGGCCTTCCTGCAGCCTACGACCCCGTACAGCATCCGGGGATGGAGGCCTTGCCTCACGTATAACACCCTCCCAACTGAGCACCTGTAAAACCAAACCAGCGACGTTCGAAACCGGGAGTGAAACACGGGACATGTTGTGGCACGGTGTGTGGGGTACTGCTGCAGGTTGACCCAGATCACAGAACGCGCGGCAACAAAGTCAGTTCGCGGGGCTAGGACTTGTTAGCAACAGCTGCCGGCGACGAGACCCACATCGCCAAGGCTTCCTTCCACGCGCGGCTTTTTTACCATACTGCAGATCTGACATGCGATACTTTCTCCTTCTCCGAGATATGCTTCCACTTCGCACAACAGAGCAGCATGTGGCTCTTGATCGAGTCTGAAAACCGGGACGACATACGGATGCGACGGTCATAATGGCCAGAAGCATGCAGTCCCTCCTCTTGGTCTAAGAGTTCCCATCGAGCTCGCGTGGCCTTATGCCAGAGCAGCACGGCCCCCTTTCGTTGACAAAGTGTTAAGAAAGCATTGTCCACAAACATGGTCTACAAGCCTAGATAGGATAGGTCAGATAGGCGATCATTTTGGCTTTGGCCGGTCCACACCCCGGTCCATCTGGGTTATTCCCAAGTTAACGCACTACTCAACATCTAGCCGGTCCGAGCGACTTTTAGCCCATGAACAAGTTGCGTTCATGTGCTATATGGGCTCGGTATTTCATATACTTTCGGTACTTCACATATGCCCCACACACATTGATGCGGAATGCGAAAAGAAGGATAAAGGGAGTGCAAAACGTGCGCAAATCGACGTTGAACTACCAACTGCTTTCCGTACATGCAATGTCGTACCTGTGTCGGGTTCTCCTGCGCCATTTCCTGGCTACCAACGCAGTAAGGGTGGAACGTGTGGCGGACGGGATCTATGGACTCGAAATGAGTGGCGTTCCCAAGCATCCCTGTCGTACAGTCGAACGTATGTACGGTGCACTGCGGGGTACGTACGGAAAAGGCAGCGCAAAAGACATCAGAAGCGCAAAGGGGTCTGTTGAGGGCAAAGAAAAACGTCCATGGAGTTCGAATGGATGGTTCTGGGGTTCTGGTGTCAAACGAGCGGCTTTGCGGGAAGCTGCTTCTGGCATTTTCCAGGCTTGACCACAGCAGTATATGGCCGGTCAAGGACGCGTCAAACGAGGCAAGGGCTTGTCGGTCGAGGTGCTGTTGGCACATCCACTATCCATGAAACGTGTTTGCCCGGGAGTTGTTAGTGCAAATCTAGTGCAAATCTCCGCTCACAACGTAAAATGTTCGGTCAGCTACCACATGTACCGGGTATACAAGGTACGCGACAACCACCAAGGCTACGCGGCACAAGGCACTCTGCGGCACATGCACAATCAACGCCCGTCCCAGATGCCGCACATACCCATCCGCCGTACAATACAGTCCTCTCTAACATCCAGCCGTATCATATCACTCGCCCGGCAAAACGCACCACACGAGCATATTATATGTCCCACGCGCACACCCACATCCACACATGCGCACCGGCGTCATGTCCAAGGCCGCTTCTTCAAATTCAAATTGATCATTGGATCCAAACGACAGCACTACACAGCCGGGTCGAGCTGTCCTTGGGAAGGGGACGCACATCCACTTGGCGCCATCCACCCATTGACTGCGGAAAATAAAATGGGAGAAGGGAACGGCTTACGTCACAAGGTGGGTCGAGGGCCCAAATCATGGGTAGAACGGGCCATCGGGGCGGTGAAGAACAGAGAGGCAGTAGAGAACGGCTGAACAGATGGGAGATCCGCGGATATGAAAACGCGATCTGGGTCAGGGTTGAATCTGGGTGGGAGTTGGGAGGAAGGGAATATCCTGTAGTTTGGAACAAGATCTTGGCGAAGATTCAGGTAGAAGTTACATTGAAGGTACATTTCTGTCCCTAGGTTTACCCTGCCCCTTTCGACGGAAATCCCTACGGCCGCCAGCCGCGACTTTACGGCACCCTCGGTTGGACTACTCACGTGGGGTGCGCTGTGGGCCCTGTGGGGTCCAGCCTCATCAGCTTGGAGGGCGGCGGACATGTGACCACTGGATCGTACAAGTCGAAAGGCACCTGGCCGAGCACGTGACTGGAGTAGAGCTTGCCCAGCGTGTTGAGCAGCAGCTGAGACTCCCACCTGTCAAGCGATATCGGTTGAGAGTTACACGTGGTGTGATGTAATGTCTTGAAAGCTTGCCCTTGAATGGTCCCGACGGGCCAGGAGGCTTTTGAGGCACACGAAGTGGAATTGAGCTCGTGGGGTGTAAGACAGAGATTAAGGAGCCACTTAACCACATGTTCCATGTGTTGGTAGCCTCTATTTTTGAGGATGTGGGAAATCTGGGATGCCAAGTCAGTAGGTTTTCGACGTAGCTGGATCATCTTTGGCATTCCACAACAGCAGCTCTACTCCTCACACAAACTAGACTACAGTGCCAAACCGAAATGCCGCTGCGCGGGCGATGGCCACTGTCAACGATGATGTTCTCGACAACAGCTTATTCAAGGCGGATCAGAGCGGAAGCCAACCTTGAGAGGTTTCGCTGTGCGTCACGCATCCAGTCTGCACCACCGTCCTGTGGCAAGCCTCGGCGAAGGAGGTTCGAGCCATATGCCGGAACCGCCTCTTGCAAGACAAGCCATGAAATCGCCAGTAAAATTACAAAAAGGGTGTGCCTATCCATAAGCGCAGGTTGCTTTTAAGCAGTAAGAGTATTAATTTTAAAATACGTCACATCAACATGCTACAAGGGCAGGTCCGGTAATAATGGATGGCAGATCATTCTTCTTGTTAGTAAGGTTGGGCTTGTACAACTCCAAAACCTGCAAGCTTAGGAAAAACATCGTGCAGAGTACGGACCGATGTAACTGAATCGCTGGGAACAGGCTCCTCCTTACATCCGAAGCACTGGCATAAGAACGCTTCTGTCATGGCCGCACATTGAAAGACGGCATGTGATCGAGATAGCCATTTCGCAGCTTGTTGTTTACCAGTTTTTTTTCTCAAATCCCGTTAAGTCAGTTTGTGTAGGGACCGGGTTCGGCCCCCACTTGAAGCACAGGGTATTGGATAAGGTTTGAAAGAAGAATGTACTCTCCGCGGATTTGGCTATGAACCAGGGAGTTCAGAGTTCCTCACGACCTGGGCAGCAGGTTGCGTGCTGGTTCCGCCCCGGAATTGCGGTAGGCGTCAACCTCTAGCCCGCACAAGTGAACCAGGTTCACACCTAAACCCAATCCGTGCTTCGTTTGTCGCAATTCCACACCCCTCGGACCCTCTGCAGTCCCTGCGCTTCGCCATAAAAGCTGCAGCTTAAAATAGCTGTAACGGCGTTGTCGGAGGTTTGCAGCTGAGGTTAATTGATTTGCTCTGGTAGCTGAAGAACCCACCCTGTCGTGCATTATTCATGTTCTCCAGAAGACCAAAACAACCGAGACACCATCTCTAAGCACTATGGCACCAATAGGAGCTAAGTAAACATTCAAGCTTTAGACGGCCATTCATTTACCAAGCTAGCGCGTCACAAACACACTAGAGCGAGCGAGCTGGTGAAGCCGGCCCTTGTATAGGTGCAAGGATGGCACAGCAGCTCCTTGCGCCTATTGCGCAGATAGTAGATCAGCGGCAAAAGACAGAGGCTTACAAGAACGCGTTGCAGCAGATCCTGGATGCTGGGGAGCCGGAAGCATGCAAGGACTTCGTCCACCACAGTAAGATCTGGAAAACAATTAGGTTAAAAACTCATCAAAGACTTCCAGTCTACTTCCCCTGGCTTCTGACTGTACAGCACGAACCCGACCCATCCCTACGTAATGAGCTTCTTCCTTCTTACGTCGCAGTGCTGACAGATGAGGTGCCCCTGGTCATCAGCCGGCAGCTGCTGCTTATGTTCGCCCAGGGCATCTCGCGTCTCCCAATTGCAGCCCATGTGTCGGTAGCCACCGCGTGAGTATCCCAGAACCAGTCAAACACAGCTACGAGGAACAAAGCGGAGCTCACACATACCTTTAGGAGGGGAAGGGTTGAGGGGAGAATGTGGCCTGTGAAGTAAAGGCTCAAGAATTTGCGGTTGCTCGGAAGCTCTCGCCGGATTCCTCCCTCACCACGACTTTCGCGAGACCTCGCTTCAGCGATGTGCAGATGACCCAACGTTCCCCCTCCTGCAACCCCTCATCCTCTCTTAGTGCATCGGCAGGGAACGTCCTGCAGCCGCGCACAACCCAACTTTGGCCTAGTACGCGCTTTCCAGCTTTCCACTCCCTTCTCCTCCTCCTTCCCCCAAACCACCACCACTTAAAAAAGACACACAAACGACACACATTTCCGCTATCCGCGCACAGTCCATCCGTATTGTCAGCCTGAACTTACCAATAATGCAACCAGCGCACAGCTGCGTTTGCGTGGCGCGGTTGATGCGCTTGAAAAGGTAATTGCGATTCCTTCACTTTTTTCGTGTTCTATCTATAGCACTCCCATATGTCAGTAACCATATGCCCAACATATACCTCCGCAGATTAGCGTAGTTACGCTAATGTGCCTCAAAAGCAGGCGTATATCATCTTCGCCTTTCCAAAAAAGGTGGAACCCCTTCTTCCCCTCTACGGGACTTTTTCACCCCCTGAAGGGGACAACCCTTTAGGGGAACCAAAGTCTTTGAACTACTTTCCGGACCGCCCCCACAGATACACATATACGATACGATCCCACACCAGGCTACGATCGCGCACTTAAACTGTACTCATACACGACCTCCAGCCTTCGCCCGAGCGCCCTTCACCCAGACCGAGCATAGTGCTACGAGAGATGTGGTAAAGAAACAAGTCGACTCTTTCCGCTAACGGCCGACGCCCCGAACCGCCGCGCCTCCCCCACTTTCATGGCACATGGCCCCCTTGGTGTGCGTTTTCTAATAGATAACGTTCTCCCCGTTCTCCCCCCCGCTCTCTCCCCCACCCGCACCCCCTGCCCAATGCAGGGCTCTGGAGCGGCTCCAGCCCCGAGTGGTTTCCTTCGAGGACAGCGTAGTTCTGCTGAGGGAGACCTTGGCGGAGGCGCTGGAGAAGGAGGAGGAGTGGAGCAGAGCAGCGCAGGTAGGGGGGAAGGGAAGGGAAGGGGGGGGCTTGAAGAGGGAATGAGGGGAAAGACAAGCGATTGCTGGGGTGGAGTTCTGGTACGTGTGTGTTGTGTATGTATCGTTGATGGTTGGTGGTTTCTGTTGCCGTTACCAGGTGCTGTCCGGCATCGACTTGGAATCGGGCGGTCGCGCAATGGAGCCGTCTTACAAGCTCAGTAAGAACATCAAGATCGCGATGCTGTACCTGGAGGTGAGTGAAGAAGGACACTGTGTCGCGCCGTACGATAAATACGTCCTGTCGTACAATGGACTTGCAGTCACGGTTCCCTGGTTTCTCTCTTTTCCCCTGTCTTTCTTTTGCAGGATGATGACTCGGTCAATGCAGAAATGCACATCAAGAAGGCGGCGGCGCTCATTAGCAGCTGCAAGGATGAAGGGCTGGAGCTGCAGTACAAGGTACGGATGTACGGCGGCGCATATAGGGGGGCTAGAGCCGCATTCCTCTTGCACTCGTATATGTATGTATGTATGTATGTATATATGTATGTATGTATGTATGTATGTATGTATGTACGTATGTGTGCTTGCTGCCACTTCTCGCACTTCAACGTGGTGATGTGCTGCACTGCATCGACAGTTTCCGAACCTGCTGGACGAGCCCACTGTACGGAACTGTACGGCGCCCTCTACTTGCCCATCTGACTGCATCTTTCCTTTCCTTTTTCACCCTGAGCACACCGCAGCACTGCCCAGGGGCGACTGGTAGGAAAAGCTCCTGACCCCCATGGGGCGGCACAACGGGCGTGTGTGAGAAGAGTTCACCCCTCCCCAACCCCAACCTCCCCAACCTCCCCCTCCCCCCTACTTCCCCCCCCTGCCCTCAAGACCTGCTATGCCCGCATCCTGGACGCCAAGCGCCGCTTCCTGGAGGCCGCACTGCGGTACTACGAACTGTCCTCCATAAGGCCCGCGGCGGCGGGGAGTCTGCAGGTGGGGGGAGGGTGTTGGGCGGGGGGACAGCTCCCCACAGCCTACACACAGATTTTGGTCGTTTTTCGGGAGTGTGCAGTTCTCTGTTCTAACTGTGCTAACTGTGCTAACCGTCGCTCCCTTCGCCGGCCCTTTCCTTTTGTGGTTCGTATGTCTCATTGGGCTCACTGGGTTTCCCCTTGAAATTCGACAACCCTACCTAACCCGACAACCCCAAATAGATAGATAGATAGATAGATACATGCATACTACGTACATACGTACAACATGTCAGCACTGTGTATGTGTGTGCGTGTATTGCCACCAATCTGTTTCCAACTCCGTTTGTGTGCCGTGCCGTGCCGTGTCGTGTCATGTCTTGCTCCGTGTTTATTACGTGTATGTATGTATGTATGTATGTATGTATGTATGTATGATGTGTATCTCTGCTGTCCAGTTGGACGAGGGCGATTTGGAGACCGCGCTGCGTTCCGCCATCACGTGCACCGTACTGGCACCCGCGGGGCCGCAGAGGTCGAGGATGCTGGCGGCGCTGTACAAGGTACGATAACTGTTGGGTCGCGGAAAATGTTTCAATGTTTGCTTTCTGACGGCGAGGGAGGGGCCGCACTGCGAGGGTCTGTCTGTAGGGAGGGGGGGGGGCAGGGAGGTCTCTTTCAGTCGCGCTACATCTATCCGCTTCTCGCGCTCTCCCCCTCACTTTCCTTGTGTACGGCCGCTATTGTACGGTACAGGACGAGCGCAGCTCCCGATTGGGCGACCTTTACCCCTTTTTGCAAAAGGTCTATTTGGAGAGGATCTTGGACAGGTGGGGGGGTAAAAGAGGGGGGTAGGTTGGTAGGGGAGGTGTGAGATAGGGACCCGATTTGACGTTTGTTTACAACGATCTCTGTACTAATGGTTCTTTCTATTGTATGTGGTTATTTGCGGCTTACAGTTGATTTATGTTTGACTTGTGTTTTGGCCATTCCATATGGCCATATGGAAATCGGATTCGTCGGTTGAAGAAGTAGTACTTGTCTCCGACTGCAGGGCGGAGGTGGAGGCCTTCGCAAAGGGCCTCAAACCGCACCAGGTAGCACTAGTAGGCGGCGGCGGAACCGTTTTGGATCGAGCTGTCGTACAACACAACCTGGCGGCGGCGTCGCGGCTGTACAGCAACATTAGTACGGAGCAGGCAAGTCGCAACCCATATGGATGTACGACATGGTACGGCACGACACGTGATCCAATGTACCCAAGAAAGGAGCTGCACTCCTTGGCGCGCGTGTGATGGCCATTGTTTTAGGATTAGGGGCAGTGTTGAGTCCGCGGCCTGCAGACCGGCGTGCGCGTGTGTGTATGTTGTTACAGGGTGGTATAGCTTCACCAGCGGCCCCCTTTCCCTTGGAGGCAGTTCCCTGCTCTCCCCTGCTAGAGGGGCACCCTAATCCATTCAACCCATCCGACTTCAGAATGTATTCGCTGGGTTCAGCAACTCACCACCAGCATCCAACCAAATCTAGCGGATCAACGGCGCCTCAACTTAGTTCCTGGTCAGCTCGCAAGTTGATTTTATCACGTCCTACATCGTCCATATGATGGGGGGCCACCTCCCATTTCAACACTCCACAAACACCCGAGGAGCCGGCAGGCGGATTTGAACCCGGGTCGGCCGGGAGCTGAAGTCAGGCCTTAACCTCTGCCAGCCGCCTGTGTATGTATGTGTATATATGTGTGTGTGTATGTATGTGTATATATGTATATGTGTGTGTATGTTACATATCGAGGCAGAGTATGGTTATAACTAACCTTAACGGAGTATTGTCTCCATCATCATCGTCATTATCGTGCTCTCGTATTCGTTCGCACCCTCCGTTCCTATGCGGCCACATGTATTGTCGGCAGTGTCTGTGTCTGCCTCCTCCCCACCCATAATACGACGTCTAAAACCCTAACACCCCCCACCCCCCCACCCCCCCTGCGCTCTCCCGGCCACCCTCCCCTGTCCCGCGTGTCCCCCCCCGCAGCTGGGGGGTCTACTGGGCTTGAGTGCGGAGGCGGCGGAGGCGGTGGCGGCGGATATGGTGGCGGAGGGCCGCATGGCGGGGAGCATTGACCAGGTGAGGTGGGGTGAGGTGAGGTGTGCAGTCAGTCGGTCGGTCGGGTATTGGACCACGTGTGTGTGTGTGTGTGTGTGTGTGTGTGAAGTTGCATGTGAAGCCCGGAGCTGATGATGATGATGAGGATGATGATGAGGATGGAGATGATGACCGGTGGAAGAGTTTGAGGAGGGGACGGGAGGGCTGGGTGAAGTGCTTGCAAGGGGGCGTGAAGGGAGGGGGAGGGAGGGGAAGGGAGGGGGCCTGGGTTTTAGGGCTTTAGGTCTACCTGTGTGTGGAGGGGAGTTTTCAGGAGGTGTGTGTGGGGGGGGGGGAGTGCACTGGTACGCCCCGGGGAAAACCCCTCACGGAGTCATGTCGGTAACTCTCATAACCTGCCGTACATGTCGTACAGGTGGATCAGCTGATTCACTTTGGTTCCAAGGTGGAGGTGGAGGCGCTGCTTAGATGGGACGACTCCATCCGGGCCGCTTGCACCAAGGCAAGTACGGCATATGTGTTAAAACCGCATAAGAAAAAGACACAGCACGAGCATTCTCTCTCTGCTCCATCCTTGCCTGGCGATTGCTCTCTTTCCTTTCGCTACGCTTGCAGCAGACATGCCTGTTGCATGCCCAAAGCGACGTACAGTACACATACATACATACACACGCACACACACACACGCCCCCCCTCGTCTCCCACACGTCTTGTCTCCTCTCGTCCGTGCTTCGTCGTACTCCACCGCTGATGTGGAAGAAGCAAACGTCTTCTCGCCGCCGGTGCATTTTCAATACACCGGTGGGCTGGGGATCGATCGCTACAGTGGGGGGATGGGAGGGGGCCCAGCACCAAACAGCTCACAAGCAGCTCAGCCCGGATCTCCGCCAGTAGCTCCAGTAATGAGTAGCTTGAGTTCTCTTCTTGAGACGCTTCGTCTCTTCGTCTCTTCATACTGCCCTCCGGCGGTGTATGGAATGTAATAGCAGTGCCTGGTGTAAATATATATTATGCTGTGTGGTAACCTTCAGATTACCCTTCGGGTTACCCTTCAACTCTTTCTGCCTCTCTCCCCCTCTCTGACGCTGTTACACTGGCACACTTTGGCACACGCTATGACGGCGGGTCGGGGGGGATCGAGAGGGACAGTAGAATACCCGGGGGGGGTTAGGCGCGCTCACTACATACATACATACAGCAGCACCGCACCGCACCGCACCGCACCGCACCGCGTACACACATACACACATACATACACACACATCCTCTGCGCTGTCCGTCTATTTCTGCTTCACTCGCCAGTGGTTCATCTTAACCCCCCACCCCACCCCTTCCTGCGCAGGTCAGCGAGTTGGTGGACAGCGTGACCGCGCTGGGACTGGCCGGCCCGGCAGCGCCCGTCTCCACAGCGGCAGCTGCGAGGTGACGTGTGTGGAGAGCGGTGCGCCTCGCCTGTGTGAAATGCATCTCCCCCAAGAAATGCATCACCTTCCTCCCCCTCCTCCCTTGTCGCCTCCGTAAAAGAGCCATGCGCGTCAAGGAAATGCTCTGGCTGCGGTCTTGGATTCAGAATCCGGCAAAAACTGGCCCCATTGGATCCAGGATCCGGCACGGCATCCTGCGCAGCAGTTTCTCTTTTCTGGGCCCCGTGTATGTGGGGCCCAGGATGCACTGCACTGCACTGCACTGCGGCCACTGGGGGACGTGCGGGTGTGTGGGCGGCAGCATTCACGGATGGGCCACGTGAAGTGGGCGAAGGCGGTGGGACGAGAGGCCTCCGGGGGAAGGTCTCAGGGTGCCAGATTCAATGTTGCCGTTTGTAGCGCCGTATGTGTGTTGGTTCATTTGCCAGGCTAGGCTGTTTTGCTCACGACGGCGGGTGCGACGGTTTGTCGTCATGGACCCTTCCGCCCCCTCCCCCCCCCCGATCGTCATGGCCAATAACCCCCCCCCCCTTCCGGTAGGAGGCGTTGAAGCCGGACTTGGGGGGGGAGCCCCGTTATTCGTTTTTCCGATGTAGATATTCAGTTGGAAGTGTTCACAATACGTACAACACCCGGTGGTGCAGCTGTAGTGGCACAGCACAGGACTTCCTCATAATGAGGACTGGGGGAGGGGAAAGATGCCACATGTGGCGGCGGGGAAGGCCCGTAACGCATTTTGCGCGGTGCGGTTCGTCCCCCCGGCGTCCACCACCACGCGGGTCCATGTGGTATCGTCACAAACCCCAATGACATGTGGCGGGGAAGGAGTACATGAGAATGTGGCGGACAGGGGGGCGCCTGGTCCTCCCGCAATCAATGAGAGGCCAGCGGAGGAGGCGAATTGTGATAGATAGATAGGGGAATGGTGCACAGCTATTAGTAGTTGTGCTGCCTGCTCTGTGCAACCCGACGGTAGATATAGGCGAGGGAGAGCTGGCACCACACGCGGCCTAGCAGCAAGTTATGGGCCGACGCCACGCGCACAATAAAAAAAGGCATTATTCTCAATGTCTTGACTCTCTTGCAGTGTTAGGTGAGCGCACAGGGAAGAGTCTTTTGCTGCTGTCGCGTCACAATACGCAGCTTTCCTGCCTGCATGTATGTATGTTGTTACAGGGTGGTATAGCTTCACCAGCGGCCTCCTTTCCCTTGGAGGCAGTTCCCTGCTCTCCCCTGCGAGAGGGGCACCCTAATCCATTCACCTCATCCGACTTCAGAATGTATTCGTTGGGTTCAGCAACTCACCACCAGCATCCAACCAAATCTAGCGGATCAACGGCGCCTCAACTTGTATGTATGTATGTGTTTTACACAATTGTTCACATCGGAGATTCCAGTCGCTACCAGCGTTGCGGTGCCCTTCCTTCGCCCCCTATATGGGCACAAAGGACCCCCCGAACGAGGCCAGACATCACCATCGAAAACTTGAGAAAAAAGCAAAAACATTCCCGCGAAACGACCCCTATCTACGAAAACAGTCGCAAAGAAAGCAAAAACACTCGTGCATGAGCGCTCCACTACTACATATACATCGCACAACATACAGCAATACATAGCAAGACAGGGTTAATGCAGCTACCTACCTACCTACCTACCTACCTAAAACCTGCGGGATGCATCTCCTGCAGGCATAAAGGTGACTACAGACCGCCGAACTAACCTCGGCACAACACAACCACGGCATCATCCAACCACTGGCTTGCGAAGCATTGACAAGATATCGACAAATGCGCGCTTGGCAGTGGGAACTCCCAGGGGACGGTCGCCGCATTCCACTGCCGCGCCCTGAAAACGATCCAAACCTCCCCCCTCGTCCCCCTCCCCCCCCCCCAGTGCCGCACTGCTATCTACCCAACAAAAGATCTCCGGCATCTCCTGACGAAGTTAGTGTGGGCAGATGGTGGGGGTAATGCAACAGACAGGTAAGAACGAGGGCGTGGTTACTTGCTCACTTTCTCATCCACAGATCGTCCCGCCAAGTCACGCACCTCGTTCACCCTGTGCCGCTGCCCTCCGTGTCCCCACCTCCACCTCCACCTCCACCTCCACCTCCACCTCCACCTCGCGGGTCTATATTCCCCTCCTGGGAAGGCGGGTTGAGACTGAGAGGAGCACGCTACGGAACCCACATGAAGGCATGAAACGCATTTTAATCCTGCGGCGTCGCTGCCAAGCCTCGAAAGCTCACAGCAGCATGCACCAGCTACTACGTCTAACGCGCTACCGCAACGGCAACACCTTGGTACCAGCAGCACCAGCACCGGCCGCGGGAGACGGCGTCAAGCAGGAGCAGCACCAGCAACCAGCGCCATCGTCATGCTCATTAACCTCGTCGTCGCCGTCGCCACGTCGGGAGCTCGTGAACTCAGCTCCGACCTGAGTGGCAAAGGGATAACATTTGGAATATGAAATTTGAGCGGCGTTGCATGGCGTCGCCTGCACGACATGGCAACAACAGACTTATGATACGGCGATTGCAGCGGCCGTACAGACGAGGAGTGCGGGGAGTGGGACTAGCAAGAGCCATCGCACCAGGATCTTCTGACAACGAAATGAAATATGCGTTGGAATGTGGCTGCTGATGTGGTCGGATATATATCGTCACGAAAACGCAGCGCTCTTTTGTGTACAAAGAAAATTCAAATTTAAATTTAAGATTACGAAACGCCACAGCGATGCAACAGGACCCATATGAGCTGCTCACCGACAGAGCTAAACGCCCCATCACTGCCTCGCTCCATTATGCGCCAAACTTCCATCCAAGCTTGCCCCAAAACGTGAACGAGAGAGACACAAGAGCTAGGGTCGGCGCGCAACGCCCCCAGGAGGAGGAGGAGGAGGAGGATGGACCTGGAGGCGCCACACGCTTCGGCCTGCCCTGGCCTGGCCGTAGTTGGCTCCCCCTTCCCCGTAATTTGCCTAGAGGTATCGTCCAAGTAAGGTCCCAGCCCGCGGTGGCCCCCGACGGATGGAGGCCCCCTGACTCACCTCCTGACTCACCTCCTCCAGGGCAGCTGGGCAGCAGGGGACAGGAAAGACCTGTAGAGAATTAACTAGGTAGGTAGGTAGGTAGGTAGGTAGGTAGGTAGGTAGGTAGGTAGGTGACTAGTTGGCGTTAGAGAAGCTGCCATTCCCGGGCCATTCATTTGCGAACCGCTGATGCCCCCCGGGGAGCGACGTCCTCCGCTACCCCACCCACCCACTGGTGGGAGGTCGTGACCAGGGGGAAGGTATAGGGTAGAGGTAGGGGGGTAGGGGGGAGCGGGTAATGACGGCTAGCAGGCAGGCAGGAGTTGTGGGTTGGTCGTCCGCAATGCCACCGGTGGTGGAGTAAGACCTTGATGCTGCGTATCTGCTTGTTATATGCTGCTGCTACTGCTGCTGCTACTGCTACTGCTGCTGCTACTACTGCTACTGCTGCTGCTACTAATACTACTGCTACGGCTGCTACTAATACTACTGCCGCTACTAATACTGCTGCTACTGCTGCTACTGTTGCTGCTACTGCTACTAATACTACTGCTGGTGCTCCTGCCGCTCTTTCCGTCACCTTCCTCCTCCGTTCGTCTCCTCTCGAAGCACCGCAGCCCCTACCTAGAAGCGCTTCCCGGACCGTGTACGAACAGTGTACGATCATGCGGCTGCCGCTACTCCCCCCCCGGTCGCTCCTGCTGCGACGGCAGCTCTTGCTGCCGCTGCAGCTGCTCGTCCTGCTGCTGCTCGTCCTGCTGCACCTAATCTTAAAAAATCAACCAAGCAACCAACCCTAACGGCAACGACGCGTCAATACACAGCGAACCGCGCCATCATTGCAGCAGCCACCAATCGCAAGTCTCCGGACCTAGGCGCCCTCGTGGGTGCCAGTGAAACTTGCCGCCGCCGCCGCAGTAGTGGCGGCAGTAGTGGCGGCAGTAGTGGCGGTAGTAGTGGCGGCTCACGGCGGCACACGGCGGCCGCTGCTCCTCCCCTCGCCACTGCCCTGACCCCTCCGGCTGTTGCTGCTGCTGCTGCTGCTGCCGCCAGTGCCGGTGCTGTTGAAGCCCACGACCCCACTTGCGATGGTGGCTGCCCCTCTTCCGCCGTACATGGTGCCCTTTTTGCTGCAGCGGCCGCGGCCGCCAAGACGTCCGACACGACGAGAAGAGAAGCGGGCAGTAGATCCTCCTGCGACTGCCTCTCCGTAGGCAGCGGCGACGGCGGCGGCGGCGACGGCGGCGACGGCAGCAGCGGCAATCCCGCCGTAGGGCTTCCCCTGACCGCCCGCTCGAGCTTCACGACGATCGTCAAAGCGGCGGCGGCGACTTCCTCGGTTTCCCCGGATTCCCCCTCCTCCTTCTCCTCCTTGCCATCCGCCGCCTCTTTGACCGCGGCTACAGCCGCCGCCGGGGCCCCAGATCCGTCTTCCGCACCCGATGCTGCTACAGCTGCTGCTGTACGGCCGGCGACAGCTTCCAGCCGGAGCACATCCCCTGGAGCCGCTCCCACGCCCCGCAGCCAGCCCTTGATGCCCGTCAGGAACCAGTACGGCATCGCCGTACGCTTACCATTGCTACCAAAACCGTAGCTCCGGAGACAGCACCCGCCGGCCCCGCGGGTCCCGGAAGCTGCTGCGGCTCCAGTTTGACCGGTACGGCTTTGCCCATCTCGACGGCGGCCTCCGGCCCTAATAGCTGCCGTACAACGGCAATGGGGACGTACACGTGCATCCTGAAGCTGTAGTACGACAGGGGTACGATGCAGGGCGTGGCGGCTGCCGGGTCGGCGGCCTCTACCACCGCGCGGCCGTCGGGCAGTAGCGACACTCGCAACCTGTCGCCTGGGGTCACACCCAGATCGCGAACCAGAGCTGCCGTACGAGTTAGCACGAGGCCGTGCAAGCTCGGCGGCCCCACGTACAAGCCGATGTCGTACTCTTGCAGCGTCGACGAGGCCGTACCGGCGGCGGCGCCGCCGCCCTTGGCGGCCCTGTCGTCACCGTCGCCGTTGCCGTCTGCCACTCTACGGTACAGCCGTAGCTTCTGGTTGGTGTAGCTGTTGCTACTGCCGCTGCTACTGCCCCCACCATCGCGAATGGCCCTCATCGCGAGGGCCCGCTGCAGCGCCTGCGGGAAGGCGGTGCGAATGGCCTTACGGCCCGTAAGATTCCAGTCGCTGCGAACCCGGAGAAAGCACCCAGCGGCCCCAGCGGCGCCGTCACATTCCCCCCCCCCGGCGCCGCCGCCCCTCAGCGCCAGGTGCCGATGGAGCGCATCTTGCCGCCGCTGGCGGACGCCGACGCGCTGCTGCTGCTGCTGCTGCTGCTGCTGCAGAGTCGCCGAAGCGCCGCCGCCGCCGCCGCCGCCACATCCACATCCACCAGAAGCCGTATTGCTCTCACCGGTTCCTACCCCCCCTCCTAGACTCGGCACCGCGGCATCAGACTTCCCGCGCCTGAATCGGCACAATGTGATTGCAACACTGGCGGCCGCCGCCGAGCCGCCTCCGCCGCCTCCACCTCCGCCGCCTCCGCCGCTTCCGCCTCCGCGAGTTTCCGCCACGGGATTCGCCGCTCTCCTGAGGTGCAGCTGGTCCCCGGGAACAGCTCCCCCAGCGCGCAGCCAGGGCCTCGCCCCCTTCAGGTACCAGAGCACCGCCGCCACGGGGCCCCTGCTGCCGTACGTGTAGCTCTGGAGGTAAGCGCATCCCTGGAGCTGTGGCGGCACTCGGGGCCCCTGCTGCCGTACTGTGCCGGCGGCGCCGCCGGGGGAAGCCGCGGATGTCTTTGTCCGGATGTCCGGTGCTACGGACACATCATCATGGTGATTGGCAGTAGCATGTGCGCCAGCAGCAGCCGCAGCAGTAGCAGTAGCAGTAGCATCACCAGCAGTAGCGGTATCCGTCCCGGGGTGATCGGCCTCCAGGCTTACTTGTACGACCAGCCCCGCCTGACTGGCCACTTCCTCACCCAATAGCTGCCGTACGATTTCGGTGGGAATGTATACCTTGTGCCCTAGGTACGTCGCCGTCAGAGGTACGACGTACGCCAGACCAACGTCAGCGACAACGTCGGCGGAGGCAGCAGTAGCCGCGCCCGCCGCCCGCCCCGCCGCTTTCATCACCACCGCTCGGCCGTCCGGCAGTAGCGACAGTCGAAGCTTGTCGCCAGGTCCCGCATCCAGATCACGAAGTAAATCTGCCGTACGGGAGAGACGACACACTACGGTCCTGTGGTACACCCACGCATGCATGCTGATGGTGTACGGCACCGCTGCTACAGCCGCAGCGTCACTATTGGCGTCAGCGCCGGCGGAGGCGCCCTTATCGGGTTGTTGCGGCAGTAGCAGTAGTACGACACTTTGAGGCTCTCCACTCGCGATGGCAGCCTGTAGCTGGTTTGGGAAGGCGGCACGGATGGCCTTCATGCCGTACAGGTCGCGGCTGCCGTGGATCTTGAGCACATAAGCCCCACTGGCTGTAGCAGTTGCAGCTGCGGCTGTTGGCGCGATGGGATCTGCCCTTGGGGACCCCCGGCCACCGCCCCCATCCCCTTCACCTTCACCTTCGCAATGCCTGACACAGGAACTGGTGCTAGATTCGATGCTGCCGTCGGTGCTGCTGCTGCTGCTACTGCTGCTGTGGATTGCGGCCCCGGCGCCATCATCATCCTCGCGGCCGCTTCCTGCACGGCTGCCATTAGTGCGGGTCAGGCTTTTGGCGCCACCACCACCACCGCCGCTGACCGGCATTGCCGGCTGGTGCATTGTCGGAGGAGGAGAGGAGGAGGTCGAAGGAGTAAATGCCGGCGCCGCAAATGCGGTGTGGTGGATTGGTAAAAACGGGTTGCGTTACGGGCGAGGACGATGCCGCTGTCCCGATGATGAAAGGCACGGTCAAGCAGGAGGCCCTTTACTTTTGAGTGCCGCAGGTGCTCTGCTGCAATTGGCAACGGCCAGGGTCGTTGCAAACCAGGGATGATGCTTGAGCGTCCAGGCCCGAAGGATGGCGTACTGAACTTAAGAGGAGCAGGCTGACGAGAGGAGTAGATGATTAGGACTGCAAGCAGGGCAAGTCAGCGGAGAATCCGTATGCATGCACGGAGTTGACGGAGAAGGGCAAACGGTTGCAAGTGGATAGCTAGACCTAAGCCAAGAGGCGTACCTAAGGCTACGGTTGCAAGATGTGTGTCGCGGTATTCGCAGATAGTTGTTGGGGCACCCAAGCTCGGGAAATGTGCGCTGATTGGACGTGAAAAGATGCGATCCTACTGCCGCCAAGCCGTTCGCAATTAAGCTTTTGATATGCTGAAATGGGCTTAATCTGTAATTGGGTGCTAGCTTGGCAATCGGTCTGCTGTCCGGACTGCAGTAATTAACTGTCCCGCCCTTCCCCGATAAAGCCTCAAATCCAAGAAAAACACGAAGAATCAATAAATCATCATTCAACCAGCCGTTCTAATCTATACAAAATTAGCCATGCTTTCAGGCGGCCGTCGCAAGCTGCAAGTTATCGTACTATATCCATCGCAATCCATCAAGCAATGCTCGGTTTGCTGCAATCTCGGCTTTCCTGCACAATTCATTCCGTGTAAAAACAACACACAAGTTATTTGAACTGGAATTCTGGGCGGTATGGCCGTTTCTGTACAGCAGCGGCGGATCTGGGTTATTGGGTTTCGCAGCCGCACCCTTCTGTCCATGTCCCGAGCAAGGGGTCGATGCCGCCCAAGGCCGTCAATTATTGAGCACCGTTAAACCGTACAAGACTCTAGGGCCTCCAGTTGACATGTTAACAAGCAGGCACCGGCTGCAACTGCCGCCCCCAAGAGCGAGAGCAAGATGAGAGGGAGAGAAAGAGGGAGCGCGCGCGCGCGAGAGCAGCGCTGAGCCCCTCAACGAGAGTTTCCCGTTCCCACCAGCCACGTTAGGAAATCTGCAGATATCCACAGCTTACATACGCCACAGGCCATATACATAAACAAGTGCTGCACATCTGCACAGCCTTGGTTTCCGCACCAGTACTACTTCCTGGCAGCAGAGCCAGCGGCAACAAGGTTAACGAGGTGAAGGAGGCGAAGGAGGCAAAGGAGATTCGTGCCGTCGGCAGAAAAACCGCTGTCGACGCATCACATGCACGCATACACACACAGACATACCCACACATACACATACATACATACATACAACAAACGTGGAATTGTAAACCTCCGTAAACCCCGAACCTCCAAACACACACGTGCGCACGCACAGCACTGCCCGTACAGCACCGTGCCAGGTACTACGCACATGGCAATGGCAGACACACGGGTTGCGCATATGCTCATGCTAGCACAGGCCCCCGCCTGCATCTGCATCTGCACCTGCAAACCCAGGATGGTGGATGCCAAATGGAATGAAACTCTTCACCCCAGCACTCCCCACTCACCCCAAGACCACCCAAAGTGAGACCACTCTCCAGGAAGCATGTAGGAGAGGGACCAGCGCGAGAATATTCCCCGCTTGTACGACACCACATTCTTCCGCTCTTCCCCTTTCCGCCCTCCTCTCTCTTTCTCCGCCGGTCACGCTAGATCCATTTCTTCACCAATCTTCCGGTCTTTGGTCTGGTGTGCTTCCGATTATATATATATATATAAAGTAACTTTAATGTAGTTTCAGTCGAATCGTCCAACGAACTTGTTAAGACCAGCAAAGCGCCGGACCCCCGTTGGGTCCTATTACTGTGGCTACCATTCACTGGTATATGAGTGTCGGTCATTTCCAACACCCCCCCGTGAGCGACACTCTCTCGCTACGGGCCTTCCCGTGCCTCATCCCGGTCTCCCATTCTCTGGGCAACAGCCAGTGGGTATCGATCCGGCGACCTCTCGGCAGCGCAATGCGCCATTCGGGGCTCATAACCTGTTAAGACCAGCAAAGCGCCGGACCCCCGTTGGGTCCTATTACTGTGGGTACCATTCACTGGTATATGAGTGTCGGTCATTTCCAACACCCCCCCGTGAGCGACACTCTCTCGCTCCGGGACTTCCCGTGCCTCATCCCGGTCTCCCATTCTCTGGTCAACAGCCAGTGGGTATCGATCCGGCGACCTCTCGGCAGCGCAATGCGCCATTCGGGGCTCATAACCTGTTAAGATCAGCGAAGCGCCGGACCCCCGTTGGGTCCTATTACTGTGGCTACCATTCACTGGTATATGAGTGTCGGTCATTTCCAACACCCCCCCGTTCTTCATATATATATATATATATATATATATATATCGAAAAGCTAGAGGTTGACGGTCCTGGCAGCTAACCGCTTTCTTCTCCGACGTACCACCCTCGCTCAGACGGCCCCACCTTGGTGCGTTTGCTTCCTTCCCAACCAGAGGCACCCCCTACCAGCTCCCGAGTGCCAAAACACACACGGCATGTGAAGTGGCTGAGGACACGTCGTCAAACTCCCCAAACCCCAGCGCCACTGCAATCTGATTACATACATACACGTGTTTTGTTGCAGCCCACGTGTCGTTCGCCCCCGCATGTTCCCCCCCAACCACCAAGAAGTCCAGCTGTGGTATTCGCATGCATGCATGTATGTATGTATGTATGTATGTATGCAGCAAGGTAAAAGGTAGGGAGTCGTCCGGGGATGTGGCGGACACCAAACCAATCAGCACTATCAGCATCAACTTCACCACCCTCACCCACCACCCTCATCACCACCACCCTCATCCCGCCCTCATCACCACCACCATCACCATGCTCGTATACCCTATCCGTAATCCCTACCCACCATCACATCATCATCATCACCATCATCATCACCATCATGACCTTCCACCTCCACCACCCGCCTCCCAACCACGCTCGGTGCACCACCACATCACTTCAAAACCCCCTTCAACAACCACAAAACCAAATTCGAGGCGGTGATGTGATTATTGCTTATATTCTCAAAAGCCACCATCCGCTGGGCCCCCCCCCAACCCGCGCTGCACAACACACAACGTTCTGCTATTCACTTTTCACACCTCCGGCCCGGCGGGGGGCCCCCGCCCAACTCCCCTTTCCCCCCCACATACACACAAACACAGAGAGTCCTGTTTACATGTGGATGGGCTTGCCAAAGGCGGTGGCTAGCGCCGCCTCCTTGACCGCCTCCGACAAGGTGGGGTGACCGTGGCAGGTGCGCGCAATGTCCTCCGCGCTGGCGCCGTACTCCAGCGCCAGCACCCCCTCATGGATCATCTCACCCGCGTTGGGGCCCATGATGTGCATCCCCAGCAGCTTGTCGGTGCCCTTCTCCGCAATGATCTTGACCTGGGCCAACATCGGTCAGTCAAGACACAGCATGCATGTTCAGCATGCATGTTCAGTGTCTCTATTATTACATATTGCTGAAAAACAGTTTTGGGGTCAACTTTTTTTGAGGAAAAGATAGTCGAGGGATTGAGCGCAGAGTTCAGTTTTTTGAGAGAGCATTTTTTAGTGCTGGGGAACCATCATGTTGCGGTGCATTTGTTTCAATGGGCTCGTAGGCGTGTGCCCGAACATATGTACACACGGCCGTACATGCCCCCCCACATGTACACTATCAGACGCCGTCAGGTGGGGGAGGTGGTGATGGTGCTGCCGATATTTCTTTGAGGGGGAGGGAAGGGGGGGAAAAAGGGAGGAACGCCAATGTTTGGTGGGAAATCAAAAGAAAAATCAAATACCTCGTGCCGTGACACACACACACACACATACACACACATACACACACGCACACACACACTTTCTCTCTCTCACCATGCCGTCTGTGTCGCCCACTGCGCGGGCACGGCTGTTGGCCATGAAGGAGAACTTTCCGGTTTTGTAGTCGAGCCCCTTGGCCTTGGCCTCATCCTCGGTCAGTCCCACGTACGCCACCTGCGGCCCATCACATAAGGCATAAGTGATACAGGGCGACAAAGGAAAAGCGGGAAAAGGTCGGGTGTATACACACATACACACACGCACAAGAGAGAGAGGGGGGCGGGAAAAGGCGGGTTCCCCGCATCCCCCGTGCACCACACACAAAAAACACGTCATCGTCACCATCTGCATCCAATCCTCCACCCCCCCCACCACTCCCACCCCCAGCCCAGCCCATCCTCGCCTCTGGGTGGGTGTAGCAAATAGACGGTACGGTGGCGTAGTTGACGTGGCCGTGCTTGCCTGACACCACCACACGGGGACGTCCCAGTCGCCCACCCGGTCAGGGGGTCAGGGGGTCAGGGGAGGGAGGGGAAGGAGGGAAAGGGGAGAGTCACATGCTGGAAATCAGAAACTGGAAAAAGCTGAGAAGGGGAAACGGGGGGGAGAGGGAGTGACCAAGTGAGTGCACACAGGACAATGATACACACATGTACGATGGTACGCAAAAGCCAGGACGGGCAATATTTGTCCCGGGGACGCAATCGGCTGGGAGGAGCTCATCATCACCTGGGCCCGGGGGGCCCCCCATAAAAGGTGAAAGGTGGCTACAGACAGACACGTGCAACATATCGCCATCGCCGCCACGGATGCAACAAAGCCACATCCTACAATGTACACATACACACAAAAGCACTCTCTCTCTCTCTCCCCCCTCTTCCCTTCCCTTCCGTTCCCCCACCAGGCCCTTATCGCGCACCTGCAATGGTCTCCACCGCCGCCACGCCATCCTCCTCTGCCTTGTGCGCCAACATAGGGCCCTTGATGATGTCACCGATGGCGTACACCGTGGGGATGTTGGTACTGCCAACACAACGATACACACCGCAACACGGAGGACATACGTACGGGACGACGGGTCGGGGATGTACGGAGATAAACCGGGGAAGTAACTTTAAACCTACTTACTGAAGTAGTAGGTAGATGCAAAATGTAAATCGACGTCCCCCTCACCAGCCTGCGGACCCTTCTCTCTCCCCCTCCTCCCCCTTCCCCTAAACGATCTGCCGCCCTCTCTTTCTCCCCCTCCCGTCTCTCTTTCCCCCTCCTCCCCCCCCCCATGCCGCTGCTTCTGCTGCCTGGCCAGGTGAGTCCGAAGGAGGTTCGAGTGCTTTGTCGGTATATCGCGTTGCGTCGGTCGGCTAGCCGGACTAGGATAGTCGGGTCGGTCGGGTCGGTCGCGCGTTTTTTGGGGGTTTGCGAGGAGCACTTGCATACCACCAGTTTTTTATTACCAGCTTTTAATCAGCCAGTTCTTCGCCAAACCTCGTCAATGCCGCAGCCAGGCTGGCGGCAAACTCTATTCCGGCTTCACGTCAGCAGTTTTTTTTACTACTTTTCCGCCGCCTCTACTCCTACCTTTACTTCTTTACGGCTTGGCATTACTGCTTTTCTTCCGCGCCTTTTTTCCGCGCCTTTTTTAAGTCTTGGCGGCTAGGTAGGTAGTTGTCCGACATCATCTTCATTACATCATACCGAGGTCGCCGCCTTCAAGAACGCCTTTTGGACAGTTTTACTTCTGGTACACTGTTGCCCAGCGGCAGCAGCTTCACTCGTTCGTGGTTTGCCTTTCCCCCCCCCCCATCACCGATCTAGCCCACCCCCTCCTCCCCCCTCCCTCTCTCTCCCCTTCCTCGCAACGGTCTGCAGGCCCCTCTCTCCCCCTCCTCACCGGAAGTTGGAGTCCACCTCCACACGGCCCCGGGCGTCCTTCTTGATGCCCAGCTGCTCGAGACCCAGACCCTGAGTGTACGGACGACGACCTGGCCGCAGGACGATGGAGGGGGAGAGAAAAGGGGTGGGATTGGGGGTGGGGTGCTGTAGGGGGATACATGGGAAGAATGCAAATTCACAGCAGCACCCTTTCGCAGCTCGGTCTTCGAAAAAAGACCTGAAAACGCAATGAGATAGGATCCATTAAAAAGGGTAGGGCCGGATGCGGGCACCCTACCCCGTCTTCTTTCGCGGCCTGCAGGACTGATACATTGCTGACTTCTGTTGTTGTTGCTCGGTCAAAATCGCCGTTGACGGAATTGCCCTTGAGCCGGTGTCCCGCGCGCGCGGGTCCTCGTCGACATCACGATTATTATTAATATTTTCCTACGAAACTGCTAATGCTGTTTAGTGAAGAGAGAAACACAAACATATGAACATAGACACAAATATTTTTTTGTAACTACACACTTCCTCCGCTCCCTCACCCCCCCTCGCTCACTCACCAATGGCCACCAGGCACACATCGCACTCCATGCTCTCCACGGCCCCCCCCTTGGAGGACTCCAGGGTTAACTTCACGCGGCCCCCGACCACCTCACCCTTGGTGACCTGGGGCGTGGGTCATGGGGGGGTGGGTGGGGGTTGGGTGGGTGGGGTATGAGCGGGAAGGGGGGGAAGACGAACCGCTGGCGAAATGAGCAAGGGGGGCCGGTGCATAGGCAGGGAAGCAGCGTGCGTGTGTGAGAATGTGAACGTGTGGTGTAGTTGCAATTCGGTGGGTTCGGCAACTCACCACCAGCATCCAACCAAATCTAGCGGATCAACGGCGCATCAACTTAGATCCTGGTCAGCTCGCAAGTTGATATTATCACGTCCTACATCGTCCATATGATGGGGGGCCACCTCCCATTTCAACACTCCTCAAACACCCGAGGAGCCGGCAGGCGGATTTGAACCCGGGTCGGCCGGGAGCAGAAGTCAGGCCTTAACCTCTGCCAGCCGCCTGCCTATTCATGTATGTATGTATGTATGTATGTATGTATGTCGTACACTGTACACTGTTATGCAGTTGTCGTGGTGGTGGTGCACATGCCACTGTTTTGAGCCCTACCCTCCTCCTCCTCCTGTTCCTCCTCCTCCTGTTCCTTCTCCTCCTCCTCCTGCTCTTACCTTGGTGTTCATCTTGAACCTGAGGCCCTGCTTCTCCAGGGTGCGATGGAACGCACGACGGACCTCCGAGTCCTGACGGTGGTGGTAGTGGTGGGGTGGTAGATCGTGGTGGGGTGGGGTGCCAGAGGACACGGGAGGGAAATCAAATTAGGGCACGAAGCCGCGTGCACATGCGAAAATGTGTGTCCCTGTATGTGTGTCTGTACGTGTGTCTGTGTGTGGCAGCCGAGGCAAAGGAGGCCGGGGAGAAGGGGGGGTTGTTTTGCGTGAGGATACTGAGCACGGGTGTGCAGCATGCCAGCATGTGGAGAAAGCTACCGCCAAAAGAGACCCTTCAGTAGGCTCCTGGGCCCTCCGCTGCCCCCCAGTGTATGGGCACACGTATCACCTCTCTGGGTAACCCAACCCATGTGCAACACACACACAAGGATTGTCAGGCTCCCTCCCCTCCTCTTACATTTCCCCCCCTCCTCAACCCCCGAGTTCATACGCAGACGTTTCCCGTACATACACGTAAACACCCAAAACCCCGAACACAGCAATAAGCCGAGTCCGGCCGTCTTCCACCCCCCCACACACACAGAAATGCTCGTATCTCCCACCCGCCACAAAACGCTGGTTGAGCCCACCCTCCGTCCTTCTCACTGCCCCCTTACTTCCCCTCGCCTCACCCTGCCATATTCCCCCCATGGACCCCAGCCAACAGGACGCAAGCCAACAGCCTTCTTCTCCACCCACCATCGACGGCACGATCGTATCCAGGAACTCCACCACCCCAACCTTGGCCCCCAGTCGCTGGTACACGGAGCCCATCTCCAGGCCGATGTAGCCCGCACCGATAACCACAAGCTCCTTGGGGACCGACTTGAGAGCCAGTGCGCCCGTGGAGGACACGATCCTGTGAGGAAGGGGGGGAGGGAGGGGGGAAAGACGAACCACAAACGAGTGAAGATGCTGCCAGGGCAAGATGGGGGGGAGGGGGGGGGGGAAAGACGAACCACGAGCGAGTGAAGCTGCTGCTGCCAGGGCAAGTGTGTACAAGAAGCAGAACTGACTAACTGACCAGTGCTGTGAAGGGGGTGGGGAGGGGGGGTATTTTAGGAGGGCGAATAGCCAGAGTACATCAACAGTACAACACAGCACAGCACAGCAGCGAGACCTAGCAGTTACCCTCTCGTCGCCTCCGGTCCGCCCTAACCCTTCCCCCCTCCCAACACCCGCGGCCCCCCCCGCTCACTTCTCCTCGTCAATGGGCACCCCCGGCAGCGGTGTGACCTCGGAGCCCGTGGCCAGCAGGATGTTCTTGGCCTTGAGGCGGGTGGTGGTGCCGTCCAGCCCCGCGACCTCCACCTCGGTGCCGCTCACCAGCTTGCCCCACCCCTTCACGTAGTCAACCTGGGAACCATACAGGACCGCGGTGTGGGCGACGGAGGGAGGTTGGGGAGAGAGAGACTGAGAGGTAGGGGAGAGAAAGAGGGAGAGAGAGAGAGAAAAAGGGAAAGCGAAAGAGGGAGGAAGAGCGGGGGAAATACAAACCACGAACAAGTGAAGCTGCTGCCTGCTGATAGGCGTCCTTGGAGGGGGAGAGAGGGGAAAGACGAACCACACACGATTGAAGCTGCTGCCAGGGCAAGAGAGTAGAGGGGAGAGAGGGGGGGAGAGAAAAACATGGAAACAAGGAGGGAATCATCCCATGACAAGAAGCAAGAAAAAAACAGCCGATAGCCAGACGGGGGAGGGAGGGAGGGAGGGAAATCATAAAGCAAGTTCATCGCCTTCCCCGTGGACTCTTAAATCCATCCGCTACCCCCCTCTCCGTGGGGGCCGTGTAAGACCTCCGCCCTCCTCAGTGTACGGATGGATATATTTGTTGTTGTGCTGCGCATCTCTGCCTCCTGACAGTACCTGTTGGCAGTAAGTGGCCACCCCCGACACGACGGCTCCTATCGGGAAGAGGTCTTTAAGAGGTCTTAGGTGCAGCAGGCATGCAGCAGGGGTTCACGCAATTTAGCCACGCCTCCACCTCCTCCCCCCCTCCACACACACAACCACAACCACAACCAGGCAACGGACACACGCACAAACGCAACATATCTACTACACGCACCACTGCCCCTCCCTCCCTCGTCCACTTTTGCTACCGGCTTTCCTCCCGCTGCTTCCGCCCCTCTTTTACAAAACCCGAGGTCCAATTATAATCCGTTGCTTAGCCGTGCTGGGCTTGTCTCCGGGACTCCATTGTCCCAGTACGTCTTCGTACGGATACGTACCCAGACCCGATTTCCCCCCCCCCTCTCCCGGGTGGGTGGGCACTGAAACACATCACCAACCCCTCACCCCGAGAGCCCCCCACTCGCACATCCCCGACCTTCAACTGGGGTTTCACACGTTCACATTTCCCCCCCCGACTCCCATCGGCCCCCAGCGCCACACCCACCCCGAAACACCTCACCCACGCACACGTGCACACAAGTACAGACACACATACACACATGCGCACACCCACGCCGACCTTGTTCTTCTTGAACAGCCCCTCGATGCCCTTGGTCAGCCCCGCCACAGTGGTGTCCTTCTGCTTTTGGATGGCAGAAAAGTCGTACGAAAGGTCACCGACCTTGATGCCGTACCCGGCGAAATGGGACTTAGCCTCCGCGTACTTGTGGCTGCTGTTCAACAAGGCCTGCGGGGGATTGGGAGGGCGGTTGAATTTTTAAAAAGGTGATGGGTGTTTTCGGCGGGGCGGAGAATCGTATATGATGTGTGAAACAGGGGGGTGTATCTTCGCCCGTGGCAGCTACCCTGCGAAACCCTGCCTTCCCCGGTATTTCGGGGCACCCTCATCCAGTCACCCCTAGTCAACTTCTCAGTGGATCGCTCAGGTTCCGCACCCACCACCAGCATCCAACGGAATCTGCCGGGTCGACAGCGGCCCAACTCCGTTCCTGGTCGGCTCGCAGGTTAACTTTATCCCAGGTCACCACCGTCCACCAACTAGGGGCGCAATGCCTTCCACCATCGGAAGGACTTTTGACCCTAATGGGTATCGATCCCGGGATCTCCCGGGGGCAATGGTCGCGCCTTACCAGTGGTGCCAAACCCTATATATCGTATATGTATGAAGCGGCAAGTCGCAACCGGGAAGCGGGTGGGAAAAGGGATGAAGGGGAAAGAGGAGAGTGTGCCAAGAACATCGGTTACGCATGGGTGTGGGAGCATACAAGCCCGTTGCGTTGCGCTGCGCCTCATAGCCTTCAAAGGTGTTGAGAGAAAGGATTGGTTAAAGCAATAGGGATGACAAAAGAAAGGACTACAGAAGGACATGCGCAGAACGTTTCGTGGAGGGGTAAGATGGCATGGGGCACATCCACAGCCAGCAACGCGTGTTCGGGGGCGGTAGAGCGTCTGGGAAGTTACGGACGGCGCAAGGTGCGGAATTTCGCCTAGTGGGTTTATTGGCAGGGATTGATATTCGCCAGAGAGCCCAAACATGTCTGAGGGTCCACGAGAAAGCGCGCCACCCTGAAAACGTGACCACCGCCGCTTCATCTCCGGAAATGTGACAGGGACGATCCGCGGAAAATAACAAAACCGGGCTTGGTTGCTTTGCCCACGAAGTCGGGCTTCGTTATACAACCTACTTTACGAATAATAAGCTTCGTCTGAGCTTCGACGGAAGCCACTGATGGCAGGAATCGCGGTGAACCTTCCGACACTGAAATTATCGACTCCTACCGATGAATTATGCACGCACCTTGGACGGGATGCATCCCACGTTCAGACAAGTTCCACCAAGCGCCCCACGGCCCTCCACGCACGCCACGCTCAAGCCGAGCTGCCCTGCCTTGATGGCTGCCACATAGCCACCCGGACCACCGCCAATTACAACCAGATCCTGTTGCAAACATCGTCCGCTGAATTAGATAAGCCATACATGTGCATGCCTCTTGAATATCCGGATAGCAGCGTCCAGCGATTGCGCATACCTTCTCTGCAGCAGCAGAGGCATATGCGCGCTGCTGCGTAAGGAAGGCTGCAAGGTACCGATAGGCCTTGCCGCCGCGGCGCGCACAGATCTGCGGAAGAACCATGGTACTTTCGTAAACCTAACTATGTGATGGTGTCGCTGGCCTCCTACCACGAATGTCAGATAATTAGACAAGTACACACAAAGTTCTGCGACAGTATGCCGAGATCATTTGCCGTTCCTACTCAACACATGGCACAGTGTACGACAGCGAACGCTGTGCGCCCGAAGCACAGCGTGCGTGTTGCAACGTCACAATGTGTCTAGATCTTTTCCATCGTTTTGAATGCTGTGGGGCCATCGGTCAGCTTTGGAATTTCTTTGACAGTTCTAAGCTACGCACTCTTCCAGACCTGTGCAGTTCTCAGTTAATCAACTGATGAGTTAAGCAACACTCATGCTATGTGAAATGACAATCCACTACAACAGCCATCGGCGCGGCTGACAGAAGTGTCGCCTGGTCAATGGCTAACAATCGTAACGACCAAGTCTGGAACTTATTGCGGGGCGATTATCCGCCGCAGCTTCGTGGAGCTGGGCAGCAGCAGGTAGGCCCTTCACATTAGAGCGGCAAGCTTGGTCCGTCTCCATGGCCAACCCAGCGCGACGCGTCGCCTGAATGGAGGCGCCCCACCTGAAAGTCTGCGACTCTTACGCCCGCGACGTTACTAGACGTATCCCCCCAAAACTATCAGCCGGGCGTATGGGTCCCAGGGCTGGGGGCCTTACGGGTGTCTTGTTAGACGCGGCATGGACCTCGATTACTGATACTGGACCTGCCCATACCTTGCAAATGCCGATGGTACAGTCAAAAAGCGGTGAACATCTCGGACGGTTACAACTATCAGCACCAAAACTTATTCGCCAACGTTCACACCCTCCGTTCACACCTTCCGTTCCGATGCTCCCTCCATTCACGCCCCGCGGCTACTGCTACCGTCGCCGCGGACGCGGACGCTCTGCATCATCACGAGCCCCATTCTAACGCACGATACACTCGAAACCCCACTCCCTCCCCCCATCCCCCAATCCTCTGCCGCTCATGCCATCTTCAACTCCACTCCACCGCCACATCACCGCCGCAACCTCCCGCTCCACACCCATTCTGCTGCTGCTGTTGTGCCGCCGCTGCTGCTGCACCGCCGCCATTGCCGCTGCTGCTGCTGCACCGCCGCCATTGCCGCTGCTGCTGCTGCTGCTGCCGCCGCAGGGCTCCCCACCCGTCCCTCTCCGAGCTGCATCCGCGGAAGGTCCCTCCTATGGCGCTGGAGGTGGCGGAGGTGGAGGTGGGGGTGGGGGTGATCTGCATCCCCGGCCCGCCTGGCTGTCCGAGGGGCAGCGGTCCGGCCGGTTGCCGCCCTTAGAGGTGGGTGCGACACCTCTCAGGGTTCGCTCTTGTGCCGCTCCTCGTTCTGGACGCGTCTGTGGAATGGGTGTGTGGGATGGATTTCTGTTGGGGGGACCTAAGCTATCCGTAAGCTGTCTGCAAGCTGTCTGCTGCTGATGGTGTTGATGTTGGTGCTGCTGTCGAGAGGTGTACTCAGGGCTCAGTCGGGGTTTACTCTATGAGTGAGTGAATGAGTGGCCGGCTGGCCGCAGTGGACTCGGAAAGACGGCTCTTCCGCCCGTTGCGGTTATGAGGTGCTGCAGGAGACGGGTGCTGCTTGGCACCTTCGAGCTCTCGGAGCGCTCAAGTTACTTACGGACTTACCTGAGCGACGTCTAAATGATGCCCCATCTCCCCTTCCCCCTCCCCAACATCCCCCCGGCCCTCTGCAAACTCTAAGGTTAACCCTCCCCAACAGCCGATGCAGGGCAACCTCGCGGCGGCAGTCCTGGAGGCGTTGCCCCCCGCCCGCCCCGCCCCTTCCCCGTACCTGGAGCGCCTGCCAGTGCCGCAGCCGCGCTACAGCCCCGGAGCCGGCGGAGGCGGCGGCGGAGTTTACGATGGCGTAGGCGGCGGCGGCGGTGCGGCGGCGTTGGTTCAGCAATTTGGCGATCGATTGGCTGCCCTGGAGGCCCGTGCGGCGATGGCTGAGCAGCGGGGGGTGTCGGCTGAGCAGCGGGCCATGGCGCTGGAGAACGTGACCAAGGAGGTGTGGCAGCGGCGGAAAGGAGGGGGAGGGGGAAGTTAGGGTTGGGGCAATCCTGCTGTGTAATGTATGTGTGTCTCTTCAATGGTGCTGGTGGTGCTGGTGGTGCTGGTGGTGGTGGAGACGAGAGAGGAGAGGGACGTGTGGTAGGTTTCCTGGGATGCGGGTGCTGTTGCGGCACACCGCGCCACGGGGCGCCCAGGGGCCTGGGCCTGGGAGCGTGGGGGGAGGGAGGGAAAGGTAGCGTGAGAGGTGGGCTGTTGGAGCAGGCCCGGAGTAAGGCCCGGGGGGCTCCAGCGGCTGCGGGGGGAAAAGAGTACTGCATCCTGTATGATGAAAGGCGGGGAAGAGGGAAGGCTGAGTCAGGGAAGAGGAGGGGAGGGCAGGGGAGGGGAGGAGAGGGTTCGCGAGAAGGAAGAAAGGGGTTCTTTCACCTCTCGCAAAAATGCTCGTCCAAAGATGCTCGGCGGCAACCCTTCTCAAGAGGGGCAGAGGAACGGTACGTTTCGGTATGTCGGTATGTATGTGGTATCGGTACATACATGCCTGAGATTCCCTTGTACTACGGGTGTTGGTGGGGATGGGCGCCCTTCCAACAAAACCGTTACATTTCGTTTATTGACAAAACCGGAATAACCGACATCAAGTATGACCAAAACAACCAACAAACCGACAACGAACCAGAGGGGGCCGGCCCCCAGGAACCTCACCCTACCCCGACATATGCACGAATAAGTACGTATCAATTAAGGATGTACGCATGTATGTATGTTAGTGACATGGGTGTCATTGTACGGCAATGCACAGGTGAGCCGAGCTTACGACATTCAGAACCAGCGGTTGACGGCGGTTAGTGGCGAACTGGCGCGTGCGGCTTCGGAACTGAACGACCTGAGGCTGCGTCAGGAGGGCGCACATGCCTCCTCCGCAGCGGCGTCTCAACAGGTGCGTGGTTGGGATGTGGGGTGGTGGGATGTGAGGTGGTGTGTGTGTGGGGGGGGGAGGGAGTTGCGGCGGTGGTGTGTGTGATGTTGGGGTGTGGGGGTGAGGGTGTGGTGGGCAGGCAGGCTGTGGGTGGCCCCCCGCGGAGTTACTAACCCATTTCTGTGCCTTAACTGCTAAGGTGCCCTAACTTAAACACAAGGTTTTCGACACCCGTCTCGAGAAGGCCGAGCAGTTTGTGACTGAGGAACTGATCTTGCGGATTGAGGCGTCAGGGGGGGGTCGTGTTCGACGTTTGGTGGAGAGAGAGGGGGGGAAGGCGGGTTGAGAAAAATAAGAGTGGGAGAGGAGAGCGCAAAAGGAAGCTGGCTGCAGGGAGAGTGTGGAAAAGCAACGACCCGCAGCAACGACCCCTCAGTCAACCCGTAGGAGGGGCATGTCATTCCATTTGGCCACCAAAAGAAGTGAAAACGCAATGAAAGTAACCTTACGGACTCGAACACGTACAACTGAACTTATCTAACTATCGTCCGATTACGATTCAAGCCCAACCCCCTCTCAGCTTCCGTGTCCTGGCTGTTCATTTGCTCCCACCCTAATAATGTTTGTCAGGTCAACCCCCAATGCGCTTCTTATGTCTCGTCCATCACTCCAATCTGACGTAACACACATGCGCACAAGTCACACAACCCATCCTGTCGCTCATCCCCCCCTCATCCTCTCATCCCCCCCTCATCCCCCCCTCATCCCCCCTTCCCCCCCCCCCGCAGCTGATGTCCCTCAGCTCCGAAGTCCGCAACCAGGAGTCCCGGCTGGTGGCGGCCCAGGCGGCACTTCAAGAGGCTACCAGGGTGGGGGCGGAGCTCAGAGGGCAGGTGGGCCGGGAGGGGGGGCTAGTGGTGCTACTGCTGCTAGTGGTGGTGCTGCAGCTCACTAACCGCTCTTGCTACTGCTCATGTCTGATGGCGCTGCTGCTGCTGTTACTGTTTTGTTGATTGCGCTACTGCTACTGCTACTGGGACTGCAAGGTGGCGATGCTCGGTGAGGAGCTGGCTCGCGCCAATGCGGATCGAGCTGCGGCCCAGGCGGCCATTGAGCGGCTTAGCCGGGCGGTGGCTGAGGGGCAGGCGGTCAGCGCCATGGAGGCGAGGAGGCAGCTAGATGAGCAGGTTGGGGTCCTCTCGTGTGTGGGTGGGCGGATGGGGGGTTGGGGTGGGGTGGGAGAGGGAAAGGAGGGAAGGGAGGGAGACGGGGACGTGTGTATGGGGTGTGAATGTGTTTGTGTGGGTGTGTGCCTGGACTTGTCTGATATTGGAAGCGAGCGGGGTCTGTGTGTGTCTGTGTGTATATCTGTTACATATTGATCCGGGCCTGACACTGGCCAGGGGCACCTAACCGTATAACACCCCAACGGGAACGACCGCCGAAGCCCTGCATCATTGGAGGGGCGTCTTTTATTTATCGGTCAGAGTCCTAACCGTTCTCCCTTATCAGCGCAAGGTGCCGTCGCCTGTGTGTGTGTGTGTGTTGGGCGGGCCAACGTTCTCTGTCTCTCTGCAGCAGTGTGTGTGTGTGTGTGTGTTTGCATGATCGTGTGGTTATGCATTTCCTTTTCAATTACTTGGGTTTCTTCCTGACGTACACTCGCCCTTCCTCGCTCTTCCGAACGAACCCCACGCCAAACTCCCCCGCTCTCACACTGACACTAAAACACACACGCACCCATTCCGTGTCGAAGGGTGCGGCATTTCGAGCGGAGCTTGTTCGTCGGCAGGCGGCACACGTTGAGGTACGGCAGCTCCAGTACGACAGCCTGAGTGTCGTACAAACAATTGTTATATCAGCTGGGTTTCGGCTTCGTGGTTTGAATTCTGGGGGAAGGAAGGGAAAGGGAGGGGGAAAAGCACCTCCACAATCCAAAAAAATCCACAACTTCCGCCCCAAAACCCATCATCACCATCAATTTTTATTTGCCCCATCTTCCCCTCCCCTCCCCCCCCCCCCCAACACACACCCCACCACCAATCCACCACCGCCAACTCACCCCTACCCACCATGCTTCCCGCATCATGATCATCCCCAGACTATGTCCGCTCTCAACCGCGAGGTGGAGAGCTACCGAGCCGAGGCTGCGGCTGCGGGGCAGGCGCTGCACCTGGCAGTGGACAGGTTGAACTCCAGGTGCGGGGGAGAGAGGAAAGGGTTGGGGGGGAAGAGGGCGGGGATGGCATTGGGGAGGGAAAAAGGTCAGGAGCAGGAGGGGAGGTCCTGGAAAAAAGGAAGGAAGACGTATTACTATTATCATTATTTTTTTATTGTTGTTGTTGTTGTTGTTGTTATTAGCCCCCGTCGTCATTATCACTCTCTTCCTCTCTTTTTCACTTCCTGCACTTCCCCTGCTCCTCTGCTCCCACAGGATTCAAACTGAGGAGGCGGCTCTGGACCGGCTCCGCTCCGAAACCGCTGCCGCTGCTGCCGGCGAGGCTGCCGTCATTGGCAACCTCCGGGGCCAGGTGGCGGAGTTGCAGTCCGTACTGAATGTACGGATCGAGGGGGGATGAGGGAGAGAAGGAGGGATAATTGATTTATTTGGATAAGGAAGGGCGGACAGACAGACTGACTGACTGACAGAGGGAGGGAGATTTTCATAACAGAGAACGGGAGGAAGGAAGGAGGCCCAAGCTGGGATGTGTGTATGTGTGTGTATGTGTATGTGTGTATGTATGCGCAGAGGCATGCGACGTGTTTTGTGATTATCTCTATTCCCCGTCCCCCGGTACTTCCATTCCCCCCTAACTAGTCGGGTTTTGTTTATATTTCTAGTTCCCCCTCCTCCTTCTTCCCCTCTTTTTCCCCCGCCCTCTTTCCCCCTTCCCCTCCCTTTCCAATTCCCCCCTTCACCCGCCTTTCGCAAACCTTACCCCGCCCCCCGTAGAACATGAACCAGCAGTTGGTCGCTGAGCAGGCCCTCCGCCGCCAAGACAACGCAGCTCTGGATGTCAACATGAAGGCCATGGAGGGGGCACTGCTGCAGGCGCAAGTACGGATGTAGTACGGATGAGGGAAGGGGGAGTGTTGAGGTGTTGGAGATGTTGGGAAGGGACATTTGGGGGGGGGCAGTGCAGCGCATGTGTGAGAGTGTGTGTGTGTGGGGGGAGGTAGGGGTGTGGACGGGGGGAAGGGTTTGGGAGCCCGGGGAAGGAAAAGACGAGGAGGGGGAGTTCACTGCTGCGGGCACGGGTAACTTAGGGTTTTAAGGAGGTTCCGTTTATAACGGGAAAAAGCCGTTTTAAGTTTGGATTCTCTTTTGGGGTTTAGGCCTAAAAACCTTGTCCCCCTCCCTCCTCTCCTCGTCCGCAAACCCACGGGCAATCCCAAATACTCACCCACCGTGCCCTATCGTACACTTACATCAAACACACCCATTGCTACATTTCCCCTTTCACCCTGGACCTCCCCACCCAACCCCCATACGCACACACAAGCCAAACCCGCACGCTGTCTTTACACCCTAGAAGACAGCCATCCTTACGATATTCATTTCCCCCTCCCCTCCAAACCCTTCCCCTCCCCCACCCCAGGACCAGGTTGTTCGCCGTACAGTTGCGCTGTTGGAGGGCAAGGCAGGTCAGTTGATGCGCATGTTGGCTGACGTGGATGGAGCTGCACAAATACGTGACGAGGAGGCCCGGGCGCAGGGGGAGCAGCAGCTGGGAGCGTTTGTGAAGGTGTGTGTAGGGAGGGGGGGGGAGGGGAGGGCGCTGTGTGTGTATTTGTGTGTATGTCTGTATGTGTTTGTGTCAGTGGTTGAGTGAGCTGTTGGGCAGCTTGGGGGGGGGGGTAAAGGGGTAAGAGTGGGGGGAAAAGGGGTTTTGGTTCTTTGGTTCTATTGCGCATGTATTGAAAATGGCTGTGTGACTGTTTTCGCATGTAACCCAAAACCCGCGCGTCCCCCCCCCGCATTTCCCTCGTACTGTTCCCCCCGCGTTCATTTCCCCTGCAACTATACACACATACCCGTGATTTTCTCCCTCTCACCCCGATTTCCCCCCACCACCACCTCCCCCCTCTAACCCCCCCACTCTTCCCTCCTCCCCCCTACCTCCCCACCCCTACCTCGTCAAGGCCGCCGCGCGGAAGGAGAAAGTGGGGCTGGAGCGGATGATGGTGCTGGAGGGCGCGTTGCGGTGAGCGGTAGAGGAGGGGCGAACCGGTGGACGAGGGGAAACGGTGTGTGTATGTGTCGTACGAGTGTGCATGTGATTGAGGGGTTTGAAAAGGGGGAGGATGTAAGTCAGGTAGGTACTTCCCGCGAAACCCCAAGCACCCAACATTCCCCCAACCTCCCACATTTCCCAATCCCAATTCCCCTGGCCCCCTGTAGCGATATCGCCACCGCCAGCTCAGCTAGCTTGGAGGCCCTGCAGCAGCGGTTAGATCAGGGACTGGCGCAGGTACGGCAGGGTACGGCATGGAGAGTGGCGTGTGCTGGGGGCGCATGACGGTTCACAGGCACGATTTGCCAACAGCATCTTAACCACCAGTACTACTATAACCACCATAACCGCCACATCGACAAAGATTCCTTTTTCGCATCAGCAAACCTCAATCATCTACCCACCACCTGGCCAACTGTCTTTCTTGCCGTACCGTACTGCAACCACCGCACACCGCCACGTCTATGGCCTCCGCCGCCATCTCCCACCCCCTTGGCCCCTCCCCCTCCTCCCCCTCCTCCCCCTCCTCCTGCATCAGGTCGCTGCCGCAGTTGACGCGGCCCGAGCCGGCACTGAGGACCGGGAGGCGGCTCTGCGTACGCAGATAAACGGGGCCCTGCAGAAGATACGTGCGTACGCCAGGGACATGGAGGTGCGGGGGGCCGGGAGGGGATAAGAGAGAGGGGGAGAGGAGCGAGAGAGAGAGAGGGAGAAAAGAAGGGAAATGAAAGGAAGAGAGAGAGAGAACATCTCATTAATTGGCCGAGGAGATTATGTGTTATACATGTTTCATTTTGTGTATGCCTGCTAAGGGAACCTAAGAAGCTCCTAAACCGCTAAAACCACTAAAACCGCTAAAACCGCGAAATGTTCTCCTTTGACGCAGGAATCTCTGGAGCAGGAGCGCATCAAGTTGGAGGAGGTGGTCAAACTCGAGATTCGCGCCCGGCAGCAATCCACGGAGGCGGTCAAGGAGGCGCTGGAGGGGAGTGTGGTCAAGGTGAGGGACGGGTGGAGGGGTGAGGGTTAGGGGGTTGAGGGGGTGGGGGTAAGGGGGGACGGAGAAGGAGGGCAAGAGGCTGTGGTGCTGTCACTCAGAACAAGGAAAACCCCCTTTTGCGTGTTTCGTTCATTCCCTTCCCCCCTCCCCCGTTTCCCCCTCCCCCCGTCCACTTCTCGTTTCCTACCTTTCCTCCTCGCCTGACTCGATTTTAGCTTTCCGCTGTTGCATCCCTTTCCTGTTTAGGACTCCCCCCCTTTTCTGATGGCGTCTGCCTGTCGCTCTGTCTGTCTGCAAAGCTCGTTTCTTCCCTGTCGGAAACCTGGTCATATTACATCGCATACGAGTAGGGGCGGACTTTCCTTACGTATACTGACGCAGAGCGCGTGCACGTGTGTGTGTTTTTCTCCCCATCTTCCCCCCTTCTTTCCCCCCTCTCCCCAATACCCCAGCTGGCCGACCGTGTGGCCTCCCTGGAGAGCTGGCAGAAGCGTGTGGGGGGACTGAATGACGAGGCCATCAAAGGATATGAGGTGGGGTTGGGCCCGGGGCGGGTGGGTGGGTGAGCCTGGGGCGGCTGGGGCGGGAGGTGGGTGGCCGAGGGGCGAAGGGGCAAGGTCAGGCGGTTTAGATCACGTGTGTTGAGGGGGTGAGTGGAACAAAGGTGAGGGAGCCAATGCCAATCTACCTGAGTGAAGGTATGGAACGTAAGGAAAATGTTTGTCTGTACGTCTGCATACCTGACGCGTGAGCGCTCGATAGCGTGCAGGTTCTGTTATACTATGCTGCGGCGACTGTGTTTTTTTCACGCCTCCCTGTTTTGTAAATGCCCGATCGCATCGTGTATCCTGCAGGATTTCAAGAAGGACATGAAGCGCTTCCAGGACGAGGTACGATGCGTGCCGTACGGTGTACGGTGTACGGCAAACATCGCCTAGGATTACCTTGGCTTTTCAGCGTTTTAATGCAGCTCCTGCCTGCCTTGAGAGCCAAGACCTCCTGTCTTCTTCTTAGACCCGCGAGTAACCTCTTTTCATCTGTTTGGTATGCGTCTCATCATTCCCCTTCCCCTTCCCTTTTCCCCTTCCCTTTTCCTCTCCCCTTCCCCCTCCCCTTCCCCTTCCCCTTCGCCTACTACCTTAAATCCCCTTTCCCCCCTACATTAAGACTAGGACTAACATGCCATGTCCGCTACAAAGCCACCACCCACCCTGCCCAACCTCCCTTTCCCGCCCTCGTCCTCCTGCTCCGAAACCCCTCGAAGACCCTGGACGACCTGGGCACCCTGCGCACCTCAGTCGCGTCACAGGCTCGCGAGCTGTCCTCCCTGCAGTCCGCCGCCGCCACGGCGGACCGAGACCTGGCCGCCGCCAAGGCTGATCTGGCCACCCACAGCTCTGACCTGGGGTCGCATACGCTGCTGCTGGAGGGGCTTCGGAGCGGGGTGGCGGCGCTGGGAACCGATCTGGGGGCGTTGAGACAGCAGGTATGTGTGTATGTGTGTATGCTTTTTCTGCGTGTGTTCGTGTGCATGTGTGCGCTTGTGTGTATGTGTGCGTGTGTGTGTGCGCGTGACGTCCGTGTGTGTGTGTGTGTCTGTGCGTGTGACGTCCGTGTGTGTGTGTGTGTGTGTGTGTGTGTGTGTGTGTGTGTGTGTGTGTGTGTGACGTCCGTGTGACGTGTGCGCGTGTGTGTTTCAAATGACCCCAATGAGCCGCGCTCAGGAACTGGCGGGGGGAAGGGGAGGGGAGGGGGGACTGGTGTGACCAGTGTGTATGGGCGTGTGCCTCTCTCTTTATCTGTCTGTCTGTCTGTAAGAATGTTTGTCTGTATGTCTGCATGTCTGTCTATATGTCTGTATGTACGTATGTATGTCGGTATGTATTAAGAGAGTGAGGTGGGAACCGGGTGGTGGAGACCGAAGTGGAGTATCGGCGAATGTCCCTCGGAGCACAAAGCGAGCGGCAGTAGCGGCAGCAGCAGTGGTGGTGGGCGTTACGCGTCCTGTGGGAGGATGGGTTTTCACGAAGTGCGGTGTGTATGTGTGTTGCATGTGTGTCTGCATCTATGTCTGTGTATGCGTATGTATATGTGTATGTATATATGTTTCAATAAATCTGATGAACCGCGATATGAGAACGTAGGGCCGAAATGGGTGCACGAAACCGAAGTGAGCTCCGTAGTCCAGCGACGTGTGGGCCTTCCCGTAAGATACTGTACCTCGAATTTGTATGTGCGTTTGTATGTATGTGTATATACACTCCCTATACCCGACCCGCTTTTCATTCCCTCTCCAACCCCCTCCCTCCCTCCCTCTTCCTCCCCCCCCCCCGGGGAACCTTCCAGACATCCACGGATCTGAGCTCCCTGCGTTCCGAGCTGCAGCAGGAAGTCAGTGAGCGCAGGAGGGCGGTGGGAGACCTGAAACATTGGTTCGACCAAAACCAGGTACGGCATGAGTGTTATGTATGTATGTATGTATGTATGTACGGCATGTATGTAACGTGTACAACCCCCCACTGCAATACCCCCTTTCACCCACACGCCTCTCCCCCTCACACATGCACATACACACTACCAGGTCGATGCCAAGCTGTCCGAGGAGGCCATCAAGTTGGAGTTGGACTCGCTGAACAAATCCACTGACAGGAGGTTCGAGGCGGTGGAAGCGGAGGCGGAGAGAGTACGGCAGCGGATGGCCAAGGAGCGGAAGGACTTTGAGGCGTTGGAGGGCCTTGTGCAGGTGAACAAAAAGGAGGAAACGGAGAGAACAGGGTTTTGGGTGGAGGGTGGGGAAACCGTGTGGACGGGCGCCCTATGTGGTGGCAGCCTGGCATAGCAGTACGGCATTGGTAGTACTGGTAGGTATGAGTCGTAGGATTACTGTTGTTGTGGAAACGTTGTATTCGCTGGCGTTGCAGACATGCAAGTTCCGAACAGATAGCTATCCGTCACTGTAGATGATTGATCGAAGGGGCAAAAGGCTGCATTGCAAATTGTTACACGGTATGCAATATAGTGACATCACCCAGTTTCGATCTGGGGACCTTCTGTGTGTAAGACAGATGTGATTCCACTACACCATGATGCCCAAGCCATGTATAATCCGGATACACATTAGTATATAGATAGACAAAGTTCATCACTTGTGCTGTACCACACCCTAGCCCTCCTCGCGCCCTTCCTCTTTAATCAGATGAATATGAATACATCGTCAATGTCACCGCATACGTACATGCATTCGTTGGCGCCTTCACAGGTGCTCGATTGCCCACACGCACCCATACCCGCAAGCCCCCCACATCCCCATTTACCTGCAACCCCCCTCCCCCTCCCTCCACACCTCCACCATAACACACCCTACAGGTCCACAGCGATGTGTTTGTCGATGTACAACACAAGCTAACCTCCCTGGACCAGAGAGCCAAAACAACTGAGGCCAATTTAAGCAACGCGGTGGAGGACATCCACGAGCGCCTGGAGGCGGCCGCGAAGAGGTAAGTATGTACGTATGTATTTGTGTGTGTTGGGGTGGGAAAGGAGATCTAAAAACAAAGAGTGTTAAGGGGAGATGAAGGGGGCTTGAAGGGAGGGACTTAACAACGTAGCCCCCGCACCCTGACCCCTGTGAATCACCCCGGTGATGCAAACACACACACGCAAAAAGAAAGCGTGCAAGGGGGGTTCACAACATGGTCGGTTGTACATCGGTAATTTCCTGGTTCCTGCGATGACATGTGCAGATTACCACATGCGCAGAACTCACACACGCTTTTACGCACAGACGTATATACAGACGTACACACACCGTGTATGTGTGTGTATCGCATGTGTACAATGAACCGGCCCTCCCCCTTCCCTCCAGCCATTCCCCTCCCCCTTTCCCCTCCCTCCCTGTTTCCCTCCCCCTCTTCGGTCGCTTTCCGTCCATCCGCAGCGCCGCTAAGGACGCAGCTGACCACAAGGCCGCCCTGGCCGCGCTCTCAGCCGCAGTGGACGAGCGCCTCACGGCAGCTGCGGAGGCAGCGGAGGCAGCCCGGAAGGAGCTCGAAGAGCAAATGGAAAGAAACCAACGTGTGCTGGAGGAAGTCATGGCGCAGGTGTGTGTGTATGTATGTGTGTGTGTGTTTTGTTAATGATCTGTGCTGCAGGGATCTGTGTTCGTGTGTGTATGTATGTACCGTAGTGCTACTCATAGTTCGTGATCGCTTTGTTCGGGGAGGGGTAAAAAAACATTCTGAAATTTGTACGTGCTCTTTGAATTTCGGGGAAGGCCGGACCAGATTTTGCGGTCATGATACAAATTTCGGGGCCCCTTCCAAAGTTTCGGCGCTTTTCAAACTGCAGCTTCCAGTCAGTCTCCCTCCACCGGGAACCTTTAGGCTCATGGTCTCACCATTTTCGCACTTTGGAAACGCCCTAGCAAATTCTGGACCGATCGTACAGTTCAGTACCAGTGGCAACGACCTAATAACCAACTACATTTTATGTATTTAAGAGCTGATTTCCGCCTTGAAATCCTAGTTTTTGCGAAGTTTGATCGACCGGCTTCGGAGGGTACGATATTTCGGGGCTGCGATCCCTTGGGATACTTTAGAATTTGTATGTGCTACATATTCGTGGTGCCTCCCGAATTATTGTAGCACGAACTATAAGTAGCACTACGGTATGTTCTAAAGTATGCGTGCGTGTGTCAGAGGGACCCGTGTGGAACGTGCGCATGTATGTATGTATGTATGTATGTATGTGTCTGATTTGAGGCATCGAGAATTTTTACGTTAGGGTCCTCTCCGACACATGACTGAGTGTACGAGTATCTTAACCGAAGGCAACAGAATGTTGGGTCTTCCTCCTATTGGTGCTGGCGGTGGTGACGCAGTGTTTTTTTAAAGTAATATATTTCTTATAAGGAATAAAGAGGTCATCTTGGCCTTTGGAAAAACGGAATGAATTGAGGCCGACCCGTACATTTTCATTCCTCCAGCCAAAAACGTCCATTGCTGCCAGATTGCTCCGTAGTGTGCAGGACTTAGTATTATCGATCATAGAATAGATATGAGGGGCCGTAAGAAGGTCAAGCCCGTGAGCCAACGCGGCATATGACCGGTCCTCACATAGCCAAACACGCAAAAGGCAACGACTCGAACGTCGAACAAACACCAAAACAGCAAGATAAGCCTGAAAATTGTGACGGCCTGTGATTTGCTATGCGGTTCCTTGCTTTGGGCCTTTGCTTGGTGGGATTTACTTATTGCTCACAAGCAGTGCCAGAACTATCTATGCATGTGCATGAAGAGTGCGCACATGAACGAAAACGCGGCAACGCAGTGCGTGCCTCTTGGTCTATGAGGGGAGTTGTAACTTATGGGGGGGGGTCTG